CTTCAGCTCCACATCAGTATTCAAATGAAAGACCACCACCAGTGCCACCCCAGCATTACTATCCACCCCACAGTGGGGGTACAGTCCACTACCAACAGCCTGAGAACAGCCCTCAAGTACCGGTTCATTACTATCCAGCCAATCAACCTGCAGGAGAAGTGGTACAGCAACAATATTCAGAACGCAAGCCTGCTGTGTTGCCAGCATTACCTTACCCTGCTGAAAATACCAGCCAGCCACCAACTCCTCAATACACCCCTGATGGTAAAGACCAACAAAAGTTTGTTTATGCAACACCCCCTCCAGATTTCCTGCGTAGTCCTGTGTATAGAGTTCCAGTGACAGAGGCTCCTCCAATGGTCCAAACAAGCCAGCCTCCAGTCCAACAGCCAATCCAGCCTGCAGTGCAACCTATGGCCCAGCCTCTGACACGCCACTCAACCCAGCCACCAAAGGGTGCGAAAAGAAGAAAAACTGCAATGCCACACCGTGAAATTACAGAAATGGTTCCCTCACCAGAAAGCAGCTATCCACGACATAGCAGCAGTGCAGGAGCACATGTGCAGTACACTGAGCAGATTTCCAAGTCTCCTAATCAAAACCCAGCTCTAAACAAATCTAGTTGTGTCATTACTCCCCCTGGTTCACCACAAGATGATGCTGATGGTTCCTACACAGTTGTTATGAGAGATTATGGTGTTCAGGCTGGTCCTCCACCAGAACAGGGTACCTGGACTGTCAAAGTTGAATCTGCTGCCCCTCGTGTATACATTTCAGAGGAAGAGGCTATGGCACATGGTTATGAAAAGAACATGTCTGATGAAGAGGAGGAGGAGGAGGATGACGAGGAAGATGAAGAGTACTGTGAAGCAGATGGTGAACATCCTTACAGCCCAACTCAGAAAGAAAACCTTTCACCAGGAAATTTTGTTGCGGTTGATGAAAATGGGAACCCCATTCCCAGCAAAGGCAAGAAAAGAAATGCAAAGTATACTTGCAAGTTTTGTGGCAAAGCATTTCAGTGGCATTCCCACCTGAGTTCTCATGAGCGCACTCACACTGGTGAGAAACCATTCAAGTGCCCAGAATGTGCACGTGCATTCACACGTGCTGATGGACTGCAGTGTCATATGCTTGTACACAACAAAAAGAAACCATTCAAGTGTCACTATTGTAACAAAGGGTTTAATGACAATACAAGCCTGGAGAAACATACTTACAGTCATACTGGTGTGAAGCCTTTCAAATGTGAATATTGCGGACGTGCATTTAGTGACTCACAGTCTATTGAAAAACATTTGTTAGTTCACACAGGGACAAAACCTTACAAGTGCCAGTTTTGCGTTCGATCATTTAATGATTCTCAGATGTTAGTCAGGCACATTCGTAGCCACACTGGCGAGAAACCATTTAAGTGTCAGCATTGCCAAATGGCATTCAGTAAGCAAAGCGCGCTTGTTATCCACACTAGGGTTCACACAGGAGAAAAGCCATACCAGTGTTCTCACTGTTCAAAGTGCTTTTCAATTTCTGGTAATTTGCAGCGGCATATTCTTATTCACACCGGGGAGCGCCCATATAAGTGTTCAAAGTGTCCAAAAGCTTTTAACAACCCTAGTCATTTGTCACGCCACATAAGTAAACTCCACGCTCCGCAAGTCAAATCAGATGGGTCTGCTGAAGCTCAACCCAATTTTGCAATACAGGAAAGTAATGCGAGTGACCCTATGCAAGCATAAAAGTTAAATATTTATATTAACATTAATCAATTTGTTGTAAATTACTAACTTTCCTCAGAAGTAGATGTTCAATATTATTTATTATATAGACGTTGCAGTATTTCATTTTGTGTATGATTATGAAATTTTCCTGCTCAAAATTTGGTAAAATAGATAAATGAGACAAAGTTGATGTTTTCCCTCAAACAGAAAACGAGCTGTATATATAAGTCAGTCAGGGAAATGCAATCTAATCCAGTTTCCAAAACAAATAAGTCATTGCACTTTATTTGGTAAGAAATTCAGCAGTTCATATTACATGGTACAAGAGATGATGTAAAATATTTTTCTTACAACTAGACAAAAATACATGGCTAATTTCTGAGGAAAATATTTTTATACAATAACACATACTTGTGTGACATAGTTTTAAGGTGGTGAAAATTATTTATTTTTGTGACTGGACATATAAAACTGGTTTTACTGATAGAGAGTCACTTCACCCAATTCATCATGTAAATACAACATGAGTCACTTAGATAAAGACTGTACAATTTGGTTTTGTTTGTAAATAAAATGTTTCAATGGTGAACAATTCTCCTTTCAATGCTGTCTTAGATTTAAGGTGCTCATTATGTTCCAGGGGTCAATTTAATAAAACTTTTACAAGACTTAGTCTTGCCATTGTTTTAGAGTTGGAAAACAATGGCTACACTTGTAAATTGCACTTGTAAAAGTTTTAATTGACCCCAGGGTTCAATTTAAGAAAATTATTACAAGTGTAGCCTTTGTTTAAGTCTACAAGCAGCAGCTACACTTGTAACTTGCATTTGTAAAAGTTTTATTAAATTGACCCCAGTCTAGAATGTTACATTAATGGGGAGCCCAATAGTTTATTTGAGATTTAGGGTTATTCTGCTTTGAAAGCCTGGGTGAAGGTTTTGGAGAAAAAACAGGGGGGGGAGAGATTTGGGATTATAATAAAAACAGGATATGGGATGTACAATTCAGGTTCAAGAAATATTGTTCTAAAGAACTGAAATTATGTAAGAAAAGTGAACAGCATTAAATTTTTCTCAGATGTTAAGAAAACCCTTTTCAAGTTGACTAAACACAGTTACCTAAGTTTTCCTCCTCCCTGTCACATCTCTTTTTTTAGTGTTCAATTTTTCAACCCATATGAAAGTACGCCTGTCTCCAAAATGAGATGCACTGCCAAAAGTTCTTTTCATCGATTATATTTTATCTTGATTTTCGCTCTTATTTAAATTAAATTAAATTGCTTGTTTTACCCACGAAGCACCTAGGAGTTCATATGAACTCACTTAAACACGCCCATGCGTTCCAGATCGAATTGGAATTTGGAAGTGTTGGTTTTTGAGGAGAGGGGAAAACCGGAGTACCCGAGGAAAAACCTCTCAGAGCAAGGGAGAGAACCAACATCAAAAATCAACCCACATATGGCGTCGACGCCAGGAGTTGAACCTGGGCCACATTGGTGGGAGGCAAGTGCTCTCACCGCTGCGCCATCCCTTGCTCCCCGAAATATATATAATGTTCCAAATTGCTTTGATGTTCTCAAATACTTGCTATAATAACAAAATTATTGAAATGACAGTCTCTTTTTACCAAGTCCAATTTATATTTTCTTTCTTTCGCGAATAAAAAATAAAAAATCAGAGGCAAAGAAAAGAAAACTAAGAATGAATTTAAAATACAGCATATAAGGGGTGGTGAATGGAGAAATTCCAAGACTTGCCAAGATGCCAAGGCCCTTGTTTAAAAACCCAAGACTGTGGCAAAATATTCCAGACATTAAGACAAAAAAAGACCTTCAAATTAATGGAGACTCATCACAACAGCTTCCAAATATTTCAAGATTAACTTCAAGTTTTTTCTACCATTCGCTACCCCTCATAATATTTATTTTAAAACTTCTTGCAAGCACTTGCCAGGTCACTTCCAGTCACCTTCTTTGCAAACAACCCTTCTCGGTGAAGAAATTATTGATATATATGCCATCCTAAAAGGTGGAAAAGGGAAGCAAAACAGACAACAATGAGTGCATTTTAACTCTTTGTTATGAAAAGCCTTACAAAGTCAAAAGCTCATAAACTTAAGCATTATTGTTTCAAATTAAATTCATTTTTATTGATTTCTTCAGACGTATCTTGGTCCATACACTTCCTTAAGAACTAGTTCAGAGAATTTGAGAAATGATCATATCATTTTCCCTTAGATGATCATATTATTAATCTTTATAGCCTTTTCTCTTGATTGTGTATTGATATTGACTCTTCAAGTGCCAAGGGTGACAAACATCAATTTTCTCCTAACATTGTCAATATGCAATCAGAGAAAAGGTTGTGAGAATTGATAAAATGAACGCCAAAGGATAAATGCTTTCGTTTTTCAAATTCTCCCAACTAATTCAGTGATGAAATGTATAGAGATCAGTTGGGTGAATTTGTATGCAGATATTGGGGCTTAAAGGGTCAGGGTGCAAAGAAACTCATTTTCAGGCAAGCTGAAGCTAGCATTTACTAGCCCAGACGTCATTTCAACTAGCCCCAAAAGCTTTTCGTTGAGCAAAATTGATTTCACCCTTCTTCTGTTACTCAGATTCAAAGAACATCACTTGCCCGTCGAAGTTAAAAACAGATTTCACTAGCCTGATAGCAAAATCCACTAGCCCCGGGCTACTGGACACTACTTTCTTTGCACGCTGAGGGTTAAAAGAAAATTGATGTTGGTCACCCTTTGGACTACAAGGATTAAAAAAGACACTACAAATGATGATTTATCCCAAGATTTGTTTGTGATTGTTAGCCTGGGACCGGGTTCCTTAGTGGGAAAAAGGCAAATGGTGAATTATAGCACAAGAAAATCAGCAGGCAAAGCAAGCTGCTTTATCTACATTCGCCCTGTAATTTGCCCTTTTTGCGCACTAAAGAGCTTGCCTGGTCCGAAGCTAGTGATTGTTAGCACACACTACAGAGGACACTAACCCTCTGGTTAAGTCCATCTGCGAGCCAGCACTGAAATCCTTTTCTGGGCCCCCACCTGTGCTTCAGGAGTTTTAGTACATGCCATGATTGGCCTGTTAAAAAACCATGGTTGATTTGCCAATCAGGTTGAAAGGAAATTCAAAATGCACTTCTGGTAATTTGTTGATTCAGTTGCCGGGCCAGACAAAGATCTCAGCACTGCTTCTCAGATGTTACTAACCAGATTAAGTCATCGAAGCAGGCCAAAGACAATTGCTAATAAATTCCTCCTCACACATTAGGGTGATTTATGAGTATCCTATCTTTCACACATTGCTCATTCTTCCATTTCTGCTGCTCTGAATACTTCCAAGACAAAGGGTCTGACAAAATGTTTTTGCTTTTCTAACTCACTGCGGAGGTTCTTGAGATCTGTAGGAATACTCTCAATCCTTCCAGATAAAATCATTCCCTTTTTGGCTGACAACCCCTCTTCAAATTTCTTGATCTTGACAGGAACTCTTGTTATAATGTGCAAAGCAAAGTACTTCCCTTTTACGCTACGCCAGGATTTCAGAAGTACAATTTTAGCCAGCGGAAGTTTTTCTCCGCCAACAAGAGCTGAAGTTGTTATGTTCAAATCGACGATTTGGTTAAACTTGACTTTCAAGGAAACTCGAGGTGTGAAGAACGTCAGAGAATACGGTGAAGGTATTTTGGATTTTTTCAGGCATATATCCTCGCATGCTTGTTGAAGAAATACGGCAGCTGTTATTTTCAAACTGTATTTCGTTCCAATGTTTTCGTTCTTGATTTCTAGGGGAGAGCATAGATATACTTGAAAAGTGGGGAGGAAAAGCACTGCCACCATAACTGGGATCAACAACTTCACAAAACCTCGAAGAGGTTTGAAGAAATATGCTGCGATCAACGGAATAATCAACGACCCCAAGACAACAAAAACGTTGGAGTGAGTTCCCAAAACGAAGCCAAGATTAGAAATAGCATCACTGCCGACAGCGAAAAGCCACGCCAGCGATGGAAAAACTAGGAGGCAAAGAAAGGCAAGGTTCTTGTAGGAAGACGATGAGTCTTCTTCAGACTTAGACACGCCATCTTTGCTCTTTGAGTATCTTGGTCTAGTCCTTCTTTCGCTTGGATTTTCGCCTTCTCTTTTCACCATTACTACTTAGAAGAATCTTTGTTGATACCTTGTGTCTTTCTTCCTGACCCTGATGGTTAAATAACAAAATGGACGTTCTTCGATCTCAGAAAGTTTTAGCCATTACTATACTATTTTCAGCTGATGATATTGCACCTTGCACGCCAAGGGAAGTGTTTGTTCTTTGTAGCACTCACGTGGCAACAGAACAAAAGATTCTGATAGTAGGGGATGGAGGGGAAACCCAGCCTTTTGTCTATGTTTACCCTACCTCCCCCTAGAAGTGCATAGTTTTGTCGAGGTAGCGGCTACCAAGGAATCTTCGAAAAAGGCGCGAAGTGCTCGTTTCCAAAATGGCTTCCACAACAGAACGGACAATTTCGGCTTGTAATGGACTTCAAATCTCCAAGATCTCCAATGACTGGGCTGAAATAGCTTGGAGTTCTGATTTTTGTGAACCACTAGAGCTTCCAGATTTGCTAGAAAACTGCATAGTGGACCATAAATATTACATCAACGAACTGCAAAATTTGTTGTTAATTTCAAGGCAGTGGTCGCAAGGAAGCAGTAGCAGTTCAAATGATGGTGAGCTTTTGCTTTGAGTAACTACAAAGTGAGCTGTTGATCGGAGCTTTGCTACCCTTCTTTCTGGTGAAATATAGAATGTATAGGAACAGGCAACAGATATCAACGGGGCTCTCCGGGCTCTGTCTGAACAAAAAAAGCTTTAAATAGAGAGATTCCATGATCTAACCGTTTATCTCGTTTTATTCATTAGAAAAGCAATTCATATGGTTAACCCTTTAAATCCCAAGAGTATCCAACATCTGGTTTCTCCTAATAATATCGGTGCATCGTCGAGAGAAAGGGTCATGAGATTACATAAAATGGTCAGCAAAGTTAAAATGCTTTGATCTTCTATCAAATTCTGTCAACTAATTTTTTTAAGTAAGTGTATGGAGACCAGTCTGGACAAATTGTATGTGGATATTGGGGCTGAAAGGGTTGAAATATATAAGCAAGATCTTGGGTATTTACTCTCAACAATAGCCTGAGAAAGCAGCGGGTATTTCATGATGCCACCACTGGTTTCCCTGCGAAATGAAGTCTTAGAAACGAGAGCTGAAACTTCCCAGATCTGGGCAGTGTTTCTGATTGGTCGTGCCGCTTGGAAAATTTGCTTCAACCAAACAGAAGCACAACCCAGATCTGTTAAGTGACACTTAGTCAGTACCATGGAACCTCAATATAACAAACCTCTATGTAACGAAGTCCCTGGTATAATGAACAATTTTTTTTACCCCAGTAATTGTAAAATATGTAGAAAAGAACCTTGTTATGAATAGCAAACACATTTTGCCAGTCCCTTGGCCCTTCATTAAATCGAGGTTCCTCTGCAAAGAATTTCTGCTCGTTTCTCAGACATTGCAAAATGTCGGTTGCATTCTGAGGCTATCTCAAAAACACTGGTGGTGAATGGCTGGAGACCTACAAGGTTAAAGGAGGTGCCAGTCGGGTCGTAGCCTTTTTAGCCAGAGTGGAGTGACAGTCTAATGCTTCGCAAGACCTAGTATGCATGGTTTCTAAACAAAGCCTGACCCATAGTACACATTTTTCTATTATTTTACAAACTACTGTTTAGGATTTTCTCTAATTGTGAATTTTCACCCTTACCACCTTGGAGACGGTGACAGACTCAAATTAATTGATTTCATTGAGAACTTGAGGTTGGGATGGAGGGTCATTTAAGTAGTGTCAACATAAAAGTGAAATGCCATACAGTATATATATGTTGTAGTTAATTTTTTTATCTTTTTATTTTTCTACTGTTTTTGGGTATGGTAATGTATGCTAAAGAATTTGAAACAAAGGAAAAATAAAAATTAACTGAAATAAAAAATTAACTGCTACATATATGTGTACAGTACTTGAGGCCAATGAGAAAAATTAATTGACTCTGATATTAAGTCAATGAGTATAAGAATACATATTATTTTATTATGATTTGTAATGTTTCTTTTTTTTGCTTTGACTTCCAGGATTATGGAAAGTTCTTTCAGAAAACAGCTTTTCCCATAAAGCTCTGATTTCATTACTGCACTCTTTTATTGGGTCCTGTAATAAGGTAACAAGATAGTAATAAGTTAAATCCTAGTTACCTCCATGGATTGGGCTATTGCATATAAAATAAGTTACTTATGTTACTCTTTTCTTACATCTTTCACATGAGCACTTTTAAATGATTTTTTTAAGCTATTAGTTTTTCAGTATAATATGACTTGTTTCATGCTTTTTTCCTGATTAGTTTTTTCAACTTGATCAAAAGGCAAATTCTCCAGCCAGACCTCTGGCTGACAGAAGTTGTTAAAACAACAGGGAGGCTTCTTTTAGTGATAATCACTTTGATCAAGCCTTGTTGCATGAAATAAATTTGATACTGAGCCTAATGGGAATGAATGGATTTATTTGGAACATTAAAACTGACTGACTTTTAAGTGTGGTTAGCTAGGCAGCAACAAATTCTGGATTAGATCAACTCTGTTAGTCACTAAAACAATGAAAAAAATGACAAACATTTAGGGATCCGTAGGGTTACAGACGTTAATCCCATCCAGATTTTGTTGATGGTTAGTTTAGCTCCTTTTAAACGTCAGAAAAATGAATGGAGCCTGTTAAGATGAAGGCTGGCTAAAAATTCCTAGTACACGGCTGCACAGATGCAGGTACTACTTTGAGAGTGCCATTTGCACGCAGTTCTTTACGAAAATAACTCATTTCAGCATGCAAAGAAAGTCGTGTCTGATAGCCTGGGGCTAGTGGATTTTGCAATTGGGCAGGAGCTAGTGAATCCTGTTCTTAACTTGCCTGAAGGGAAAGTGAAGTTTTTTGGGAAATTCAAATTACAGAAGAACTGTAATCAAGGGTGCTCGTCAATAGTTTTTTTGGGCTACTTAAAGGACTCTCCGAATGGCAAGCCATAAAACCGACTTTCTTTGCACCCTGCATTTAAATATAGAAAAAAGTTTAACTTCTCTACAACAGCAACCTTCAGCTACACTGTAAGCGACCATAATATTGTAGAAAGCTAAAAATGGGATTGAGTTTACGTGTATCTGTTGCTGTTCAATTAATTTATTTCTGTATTTTTTTTGTTATAGTCAACAAAGGCTGGACCTAAACTTGAAAGCTGCATATTAGCTTCTAATATTTATATTGTGTTGGTTCAAATCCCAGGTAAGACAGTATACCTGCCAACTCTCACGCATTATGCATTAGTCTCACACCTGCAGACCAAACTTAACACATCAATCTAGCCTATGAAGGACAATTTCAATTTAAATAGGCATAAAGTCCTTGCAATGATCGTCATTGTAAAATGTACAATTGTTGTCCCATTTCAGGTAGTGGAGCATACAAGGTATTTCACCCCTTGCTGTTCCAAAAAGCTCTAGATGTGCTGAGATTTTGGCCTCAGAAAGGTACACATTAATAAAAATAATGTTCTGTAGAGCTGGTAAAAGGGATTCCTAAGGAAGGGGATGCTGTAACAAGTTTGATGATAAATGGAGCTGGTCAGTTACGTTGTTACTACTAGACTGTTGATACATTGTCAGTCTTAGTTTGTGTTTGAAACAATCTTAACCCATTCGCTCCTGGAGATGTTGCCCAAAAACACGTTTTGAAGCTAGTCTAGTGGTTTTCTGGTCACTGTCGTGCTATAAAGGGCTAAGACTTACCACATCCCGGTTTACAGGTCATACACTTGGCGGCCTTCCGATCCAGGTGCAAAACATCAGCTTGCGAAGTTGGTGCATGCGCAGAAAGCAAAATTTCGAGATAGTTTTTGGGTTTAAAAGTGACACAGCAGTCTTGACTTTTACTTTTCGCTTTCTCTCCTCCCTTCTTTTTTCGCTTTTCTTGCCTTATTTTTTTTTCTCTTGCTGGGCATTTAGTAGGCTTTATTTTGGTGGGAAGAGTTTTTAGGAAGCTTTTAGGATCTTAGGATTAGGTGAAAGGAAAGGTAGGTGGGCAATGGAACAAGATTTTCATGGAGATTTTCAGGTCAATGTCACGTGGTTTTTTGCTTCTTTCTCCGGTGTCCTTGACTGAATTGTGCTCATTCTGGTATGGTTTGAAAGATCTCTTCACTCTACACAAGTTAGCCAAGAAAGTTGTCCTTGACCGTTAAAACTGATGACGTCACAAAGGGTAGAAAGGACCTGGATCCGCACGGGCGGTTCAGGGGCGAATGGGTTAAATGCCAGTGTCTATTATGGTTTTAAATAGGAAGGAATGAAATTGGAGATATTTTTTCCTAACAACCTCTTGATACAGTGGAAGTTCTCCTAATGGACACTCCCATAAGCTGACAGCTCTACTAACGGCCACCTTCACAAAACCCCGTTTTTATCAACTCCATGTACACTCCGGATTTTTACATTTCTGTAAGCAGCCAGCTCTAGTTATGTATACCTTTTTTGCATCACAAGGGTGTCTGCTCATGAGAGCTTCTTCTGTGCTTGAAACATGTATTTTATTTTCAAGAGATACCTTTCTAAAGTTAGTATTTTTAGTTTCAGAATCAACCATTGCCCTACTGTAAGTGACAATACTCTTATTGTGTTTTTAATGGTTGCAGAAACCAAAAAGAGAAAAAGAGTTGATGAGGAAGCATCAGGCGGCCGCAGAGCTAAGACTCGAAGGGGGCAAGGAGGTGAGTGTGTATATATTACAATGACAAAATGGAAAAACATGTGTGTTGGAGAGAAACAATAAGGTAGAGTAAACATTCTGAAGCACCAGTACACCATGAAAGCTCTTCTCCCAGCTCTGTGTTGAAACACTCATTGGACTGGTTCTTTTCCCTCTGAATGCAAAAACAGAAGGAAACATGTAGGTCACTCCAGTGGCTTTTTCAAGGCTGTAAACAACCCCTGGCTGGTGTTAGTTAGGTAACTTGATAAATCCGCCAGTAGAGTATTCAATTGACCCTCAGCTTGCAAGTTCAACCAGCTATAATAATTATTATGTATGGCAACCATTGTCAGGAAGTCAGTGTTCATGACAAAATAACCTGGTAGGCACCTGTGATATAATATAGTGTTAACACAAACTTGCATACTATTTCCTCAGCCACATAGTTATGGCAAAATACATATTGTATCTGTTACAGGTAAAAATTAAATTCAGGTTAACATTTAACCAAGGTTGATTCTCCATTTCCTTTGTCTCCTAGCCCTAATTAATCATGGATTAGGCTTAGCAGCAGACAAAGGAAACAGAGAATCAACCTTGGTGAAAAAAGTTAAACCTGAATTTAATTTTACTTGTAACATATCCATGGTGCAAACAGTAAAAGTTGTCTGTTTCTTACTACTTGATGGGTCTGTACCCAATTTTTACCTTAGTGTTTGCAAAAAGGCTTAGATCATACATCAGATTTCCATAATATTCGTAGTTTGGCCTATTTATAATTTTTATTTTAATGTAGGTGAAATTGATGACATGGAAAATGAGGATGGTTCTGATGTTGATGATGATGAAAGTGATGATGATGAGGAGGATGTTAATGGTGTCCATGGTCAGGTTAATACTGAACAAGCCAAGGCTAATGTGAAAAACAAACTTTTGTCACTGATGCAGGTATGCTGAATAGCATAATAATGGCTCTCATTAACTGGGCCATTGGGATTTTCCTGGCTATTTTAGAAAGTTAGTGAGCTGTGACTATTTCGGAAGAAACACTCTTTTTAATTACTTTATTTATTCTGTGTAATTTTTGTTTCTTTTCTGGGTGTGTTTTACTTGCAATAAAAAATAAAAATAAAATTTAAAAAAAAAAACAAACAAAGAAAAGGGACAAATCCTCAACTTACATATTCCAGGGCTGGAAAAAACTTGCTCGTCCTTTGGGCAAATAGCTCTCTCATTTTTCTTGCCCGGGGCCACTTCTTCCCTGCCCCATGGACGGAACTTAATAATAATAATAATAATAATAATGGTTTATTAACAGATCCACTGGGTGGCTCTTCCCTGTTAAAGTATATCAATTACAATTTTAAAAAAAGACAAATAAATCAAATCAAGTTATTTACAAATTATGCAATATACAATTAAAAGTAGAAGCAGGATTAACAGAATCGAAATTACAGTAAAACTAACTAGGACCAGAATCCTTGTTCTGGGCCTCCACCTGTGTTCTAGGATTTGAGAATGTGCCAAGATTGGGCTGTTTTAAATGCCATTGTTGATTTGCCAATCAGGTTGAAGGGAAAATTGGAACACATTTCCAGTAATATTATTTGTTGTGTCTGTCGGGAGCCCAGGACAAGGATATCAGCGCTGCTTCACCGATGTTACTTAACCAGAAAGAAAAAGACATGTTCCTAAATAATGGGCACAAACAAGTTTCACTTGACATTTCAAACTATAAGCACTAAATACTTTTGCTTCTAAATTAATTTTTTTACAGGATGCAGTAATGCTTTTAAGTGGCTATTCTCTCAAAGATTCCGAGCAGGTTCTCCATCATGTTATACAATTATTTGTGGAGACCACAAGACTTGAAGCATTGCCAGCTGATCAAATGATTCTGAATTTCCCTGGGTGAGTATTTATAGCAGCTGCTCATAGATTAAGCCATAAGCTGTTTCATTATAACCTATAACCTATTATACATGTAACCTATAGGCACATTAATTTAGATAAAATATGTTATGTGATTCAAAATGAATTGTAGATAAAACCAATTCATCAAGGCTGTTTCATTTCCACCAAAGTGAAAAACTATGAATTGAACTAGTTTGAAATGGTTCTTATTGATCGTGCACTCAACTTACTGCCTGGGTGACAATTAATATTGAGAAAACAGTTATCACCATTCTTTTTATTTTATGGGAAAGTTAATGTTTTATTATTTTATCCTTAGGGACCAAATATATTCAGTGAAATCCATTACATCATTGGCTTACATTGTAAGTACCTATTGCTGTCTTGCAGTTTTTTGTACTCTGCCACAACTTTTATAATATTTAAAGTATCATCACCTCTTGTTTTCCCAACGGCATCTTTCCTTAGTTAACCGGTATCAGTGTAACTCATTCCAATGCAGGTTTTGAAGACTACTTCCTTTTCTCTCATTTTGTTTGTTTGTTTGTTTTTTCAGGGTCTTGATTGTCTTTGTTCCACCCTTCATGGTGAAGTTGGTGCTAACTCTCGCACAGTAGGTTTACATTTTAGCAAAATATTAAAAGCCAATAAAACCCTCTGTTGTGTAGTTTTGTGAGGAAATTATTTTAAAAATGGTTCTATAAGAAGAATTAACCTTTTCACTTAGACTATTCTATGGAGAGACTATTTTTTTACCCTAATTTCTGGAGCTATACCATTTAAGTGAAACTTCTTTTCAGCAGAATCGTGGCATATACTATTTCTTTTTTTAGGATTTTACAAAACGAAATCTGATTATATTTTTGGTGAATTTTTCGTGGGCTACTATTAGGAATAAGAGGTTTAATTTAACAACTACAATGTGTGAAAGTTCAATAATATTAAGTTACCAGGTATATTCCATTAAATTTAAGGTGATAATTATTATTTTACTTTGGGCCGCATCCAGAGTTTAGCAAGAACAATGTGTCATTTGCACTAACACAAAACAAATTGTTGGCAGGTGTTAAAGCACTTGATTTCCAATGTCCTTATGGTGTTTGGAGGTTCAATAGCTAGTAATGGTGTTATAGCAAGAGACATTCAAACTCTCAAGGATCAGGCTATTCATTTTATCTGGTAAGTACTCTATTGCTTTCAAAAAGAAGATAAGGATAATGCCGTTTAGATATTCAAGCAAATGTGGCTGACTTTTGGGCGAGTGCCTACATCCAAAAAAGATGGTGAAAAAAGAGACATGCAACCATTCATTATCAGTAAGCTGAGCACATGAACTAATTATTTCTTTTCAGCTACATGACACACAAGGAGAACGACCAGATGTTAAGTGCAGTTCAAGTCCTAGTGCAACACCTATGTACCAAGTGTCCCGAGCGAGCTGAGTACAGGAACATTGTAGCTAAGGTGAGAGAATGTTTTAAGTGGGATGAATTCATTGCAAAAGTTTTCCTTTGGTTTGATTCAAACATTTTGTCCCACAGTTTGTGAGTGCAACGTTCGGTTTTCAGTGCTTGCAAAACAAAAATTAATTCTTCTCTGAAACCACTGTAAGCTACACAATAAACTACGGCCAGTTGTGGTTGTGAATGCTTTAAGGAAATACTCAATACTTACACGTGAAGTTTAAGCATGTGGTTGTAGAGCCAGAAATGTTGGCAGTATGCAGTCACTGATAACCAGGTATAGAGTGATGGCTGTGCTGATAATGAGAATAAGTTTAAGCAATTAGTAAGCAAAGTACACTTCACCTTTTAACTTCTTTATATGTCCAGGGTTCGCAAATACGCCAAATTTGGCGTAATTTACGCCAAAATTGTTCAGATGACTCCACTGAGGTTACGGAGGGAGTCACTTCGACTTCAGAAATTTTCGGTAACAAACAGGGAGCCACTTCGACTCCAGACATTTTCGGTAACAAACACAGTTTTGTCCTTACCTTTTTCGCAACAAGTACAATTTACGTTAATTGTAAACGTTGTAAACCTTAATTAAATCATCGAAATTAAAGAATTATACTGCACGACAAAACAGGAATAGGGTAAATTACGATCAAAGTTTACTCGATGACCGCCATCATGGATTTGAGCTTTCCAGGTCAACAGACCATCACAGCTAGTTCGTGTATCCCTCACGATAGTGTATACATGCCAGGACCACGTGCCGGAAAGTCTGAAAATGGCTTTTTTGTTGTGATACCTGACTCCAAATATTACAAAATGACTCCAAAATTTGTGAAGCAGAAGTCACACCGACTCCACTCATCAATAAAATTTGCAAACCCTGTATGTCACTAGCCTTAAAATTGAATCTGGTGTGAAATTGGCAGATGATTTTTGCAAAACACCAAATGGCCTTGAAACACTGAACGAATCTGAATTTCAGTTTGAGGGTTGGAAAACTGACTGAGTGAATCAAGTTCCAGTCCAGTTTTTGATCAAGCTGTAAACTGAACTTGATTCACTCAGTTTCCTAACCCTAATCGCTCAAACCTCAGAGTCATTTTGCCTTTCGAGTCCTTCAAAATACCTCTGCTGGCATCAAAACTTGATTTATTTTTTAATTGACAAACTAAAGGCATTAAATGCATGCTTATCTAGAGAGATTTATTCCTGTCTCAAATTTCTTCTAAAACTTGAAAACAATGCGAAAGGAAAAAAGGCAACAGTGAAAAGGGTAATGTTTGCACTGAGTGTATTTGTCACTGCTTAAAAAGATCAGTACTGAGTGAGGGTTTACTGTTTAAGAGAGACCTTGAGATACACCATTTCCGTGTATGGGTAGGGATAAAGTACCCATATGCTTAGGCATAAATAGGGGTAAATTGCCTCTTATTGCTGAGAAACAAGTAGGCTACAGTGGAAGGTAAAGGTTGATGTCATTATATCACTTCTGGGAAATCATGTCACCTTTTGTATAACTATGTGGCAAACATGTTCGTTTACTCGTACCTGAGGAGAGAAATGCTGTAACTTAAGGTCACTAATATCTTCTTATAACAGGCAGTTGTGGACATCATGAAGACTCTTCCAGTCAATGTTTATGCCAACCTTATCGAGTGGATCAATAAGTATTCCAAGAATGTAAAGGTATCAAAACTGTGTTAATGTTGTCTTCCTCTTGAGTTCTCATGTACTTCATACTTTAACTTTTTTCATTGCCGTTTTTAGAATTATTAGTATGTATTTCTAATAGGCAGCAACAAAACTGTTGTAAAATAATTCAATTTTCAGATCAGTTACAGAATTTTTGCCTTGGATGTAGTTTCACTTCTTTTATGTGAACCAGACAGACCTCTTTCAAGTGGTAAGTAAAGAAGAAACATCCCATTTTAAAAAACTCTGCATGGAGTTAAAGATATAATTTACCAAATAATACACTTTACATATCCTCTCCATAGTCATAATCTGACTGCAGAAATGAATTGTGTATGCCATAGGTTTTGATAATTTTAGTGCTTGGAAGATATGGAGAATCTACATGAATATGTTGTAGTTAATTTTTTATCCCAGGTAATTTTTGTGTTTCTTTTGTTTTTGAGTCTGGTAATGTATGCTAATGAAGTTAGTTAAGTTATCATTTTATTTGTTTATTTGTTTTTTATTCAGTGACATAACATAAAAATAAAACATTACAAAAGGTGTTAATTAAAATATAAATTGATGTGACAAGGAAGACTAAATGAGCTGGGAGCTTATATTAATAGGCTTCCTTAAAATGACATTATAGAAGTAGTTTCCTGATAAAAATTATTTTTATGTTTTAAAACAGAGGATCTGCAAGATGATAGGACAAAGAAGCTTCTTAGTAAGAAGTACTTGCTGGATATAGTTGTGGCCAGATGTTCTGATAGAGCACCAACGTAAGCATTACACAGTGAGACCAGTATTAAAGATACACCCACGGGACCCTTGCTAGTGTCCACTTAATAGAGGCTCCCCCTTACAACAGGTTTATTTTACAAAAAATATGGGAAGTAAATTTGGGGACTTAGTAAGTGTCATATGTTAATTTTTTTAGGGTGCGTGCAAAAGCTCTTCAGTACTTTGCTCAGTGTGCTACATCAGAAGACAGGTCACTGGTGTTGAAAGTTAAAGAAATGCTTCATGAAGCATTAGAAAATCCAGCAGATGGAACACCCACAGTAAACAGACAAACAAGAGGTGGGTCAGACAAACTCTATTTTCCTCATTGTGGCATTTTTGTTGTGACTTCAGCAGCAAAAACAAAAATAAAATGTTGTTGAACACTTCCTCAAAATTAAAAAAAATTTATTTCAGAATAAATATCAGTTATTATATAAACCCAATCACAGTGTGTGGTTCAGGTCAAATTCATGAAGTAGTATTTATGTGAAAAGTGTGGGAAGTGGGTATTAGTTGGCTATTTACAAGTATGGCGAGGATTTGAACTCGGGACAACCAAGAACAAGTCCAGCAAGTGGCCAGAGTGGGACTCGAATCTGGGACCGCCGCATTGCGAGTCTGATGCGGTGACCACTCAGCCAGGCTTGCCTCCTGATTTTAGATTGGGAAAAGTACTAAATGGGATACCTCCCTTCCGCACCATGAAGCAGGGGAAAGTGCACTATTATATTTGCATCAGGGAAGGTCATTGGCTTCCCAAAACAGTATAAGTAAAACACTCAAACAATGGTCCAGCCCTAATAACCAATGAAAATTAGGCAAGAGCAGGAAACTTGAAACTTATGATGGTACTCATGAGACTTAAATAGTTAACAAGTTAACTGTTCTTTTTTTCACTTGTGTTTCCATTATCAGCTCAACAAACTGAGGTGCGGAGCATTGGTTCCATAATTAGACGGCGAACTTGTGATGAGAAAGTTGGTGTTCGAAAAGCTGCACTGCAGGTTAGTCATTTGTCTAGCATTATACATCTTCATGCCAGGGCTCTCATTAAGTTTTGAAGCAGCCACAGCAAATGAAGAATAACTTGCATAACATCTCACGTAAAATTTGTAGTGTTTAGTTAGATTTCCACGCACTTTGATCACCTGTAACATCAAGTGAGCTCAGTCATGACAGGTGTTACGAGTTACAGCCCTTAATGAAAGCTGTGCAAGCACAGGACATTGTTATTCCCAGAATTTTCCTGGCAGTAATCTGTTCCTTACTTCTTTGTCTCTATAGGGCTCTGGAGAGTGTTTTTAGATACCTTTGGCTTTGACTAGGAGTATGAGTTTTCAAACCCAGTGAATGAACTTCAGATAATAAAAAAAGCAGTAGTTTTACTTTTTATGCCTGTTCATGTGTTTGTAAGCATCTGCAAAATTGAGTTTTTTTGGAACAGTAAAACCTACATCTAACTCAAGATATTCTTGAGTCATACTTCTCTTTGATCTTGTAGACAAAATTAATTTGAAGGTCACTGTTAATCCTGCTCTAATCTGTTCCTTTCCTTTTTTTCTAAGGCTCTGGAAAGTGTCATTACCCTGAATTTGGATTCTCTGGAAAAAGCAGTAAGTACTTCATTGAAATAATTATCTGTAATTATTATACAAGCACTAGCACTATGATACTATCTTGCAACGCAGCTCACAACTACAATGCAAAAATTATCCTGGTTCTACTAGCACATCTTTAACAATATCTAGTCCACAGGTTGAATGAATAATGATATTAACCCATTCGCCCCTGGAGATTTTGCCGAAAAACGCGTTTTGAAGCTAGTCGAGTGGTATTCTGGTCACTGTCGTGCTATAAAGAGCTAAAACTTACCACAAACCGGTTTACAGGTCGTACACTTGGCGGCCTTCTGATCCAGATGCAAAATATCAGCTTGCGAAGTTCGGGCATGCGCAGAAAGCAAAATTTCTAGATAGTTTTTGGGTTTAAAAGTGACACAGCAGTCTTGACTTTTACTTTTCGCTTTTCTTGCCTCATTTTTTTTTCTCTTGCTGGGCATTTAGTAGGCTTCATTTTGGTGGGAAGAGTTTTTAGGAAAGCTTTTAGGATCTTAGGATTAGGTGAAAGCAAAGGTAGGCTGGTAATGGAACAAGATTTTCATGGAGATTTTCAGGTTCTTGTCACGTGGTTTTTTGCTTCTTTCTCCGGTGTCCTTGACTGAATTGTGCTCATTCTGGTATGGTTTGAAAGATCTCTTCACTCTGCACAAGTTAGCGAAGAAAGTTGTCCTTGACCGTTAAAACTGATGACGTCACAAAGGGTAGAAAGGACCTGGATCCGCACAGGCGGTTACGGGCGGTTCAGGGGCGAATGGGTTAATACTGACAAATAAATTTATACAGTTGAACCTCCACATGCAACCATCTCTTGTCAGCAAACAGCTATCCAAAACAAAAAAAATTCCCCGTCTTGTGACCCTGGTAAATGATCATGCCCACTTTTTGGGTTGACAGTTTTAGAATTTCAATTATTTTATATCTTCTTGTAAGGGACCACTTGTCTCATGTTCAAGTCCTTGTTGTTTGGCTTTGGATAGTGACTGGATAATAACTGTCCAGCAGATACGTTTTAGGGAAATCATTGCACTATCAAGTTGATGGAGATTTATTCAGGGGATAGTGTTATCCACCTTTCCTTTTTTGAATTTAGGAGTCATTAGGGTCTTTGGAGATTCCCTTGGACCCCCCCCCCTTACCCCCTCCCAACATGTGTACCTTCTTCTGATAAAAAGGATGATTTATTTCTTTTCATTGATTTAATGTCCATGATACTATCAGGATGTCCTGACCCTTCATGATCGTTGTATGGATCCAGCACTGTCAGTCAGACGACAAGCTATGATATCACTAACCACCCTCCTTCAGGAGAGACCTGCCTGCACCATGGTACACAGGTAAGCAAGAGCCATTTTGACTTCAACTGTCTGTTTTCCAAAGATGTAGATGTTCATTTGGCCCATACACCAATTCTCACGTGTACCTAGCCTTTGCCTGTGAGGCTGGCAGATAGTAGGGATTCACAAAAACAAGGTCAAGGGAAAATGGTAAAGGGACCATCAGCTTTCACGATCTCTGCCTAGAATTGGCTTATTCTGTTAAAGCAATGTGTTTAAAAAAGGGAAATCTGTGACGGAGGCTAGGCTGAGAGAGATGTGCTTGACACACATTTACTGCATAACTTTGTCAAGAATGTTTGTTGGAATCTTAGCCTCCAAAAGGTCAAGATTATAGACCACTGGCAACTCAGCTAAACTGCCCCAAACTGGGATACTTACAGTTATCACAGATGTATAAGGGAATTAGTTGAGGTTTTTTGTGATGTCAAAAGGTCAAGGTTCTTTAAGCAGGGTTTTTGGTAGCATTTTTAAGTACCAGATGCAGAGGTTCAGCTGGCAGACTTGCATCATTCGTCCCGCAGGTGCTATTTCTAGGGTGTCCAGGGGCATGCTCTCCAAGAAATTTTTACTATTTGGACTCTCTAAAATGCAATTTCTTGCGTTATCTGAATCAGAATTGGTTAAACTGGATGGTCTTTTAAGGCATTAACAAATGCTCACAAAAAATGAAATATTAATTGATTTTCACACTTCAAAAAATGTATGTGTGTGTGACGTTGTATCTGGCTTGAAACAAAACCGCTGCTTAAGTCTTCTTCACAGATAATACTTTTACTCAAATTCGCAAGGGAAGATGGTTGTATTTCCTCTTTTGTTCCAATACATTTTAACCACAACAATAACAACTTTATTCGTACCAAACGGTATGCAATATTGATTTGAAAAATAAATTAACAAAAATATAGAGAGTACAGGCTGCCCCAAATAACCATAGAGGCTAAAGAAAAAGGGGCAGAGCTCTGCACTCTTTGCTCCTAGTCAAATGTAACGTTACTCATTCATAAGTGTGCATTTGTCTCACAACTGGTCTTGAAAATTAGAAAAAGAGCTAACCCTGATAAATTGGTGTGCATGAGCAGTCTGTTATGTGAATGCAGTTGTCACTGTACACAATACTAACTGTTATGTGTATCTTTCACTTTCAGTCTGTGGTTGGATGGAGTGTTACCCCTAGTGATGGACCGAGAGACTACTGCTCAAGAAAAATGCTTTCAGATTCTGGAAGACGTACTTATCAGTAACGTTGTCCCTCAATCAAAGTTAGTAAAGGGAATGTTTTTTGGTGCGAGTTTCAGTGCAATGTGCTAAACCACAGCCCATTAGACCTAGCCTGCAGAACAGGCTCTATTTTTTCACATTTTTCAGGTGAGCAGTAGCGGGATATAGAGCAATGGGGGAAGGTGCATAATTTTCTCCACTCCTTCCCCTGTTACACATGTCTGGAGCTCCACATCCACTTCTTGCTCACCAGAAAAAAAACACAAAATTTTATCGCCTTTTCTGGCAGAAAAGTGTACCATTGTACAATGTGATCTAGATGTAATGTTTACTCTAATAATCCTTTGTTGTGACCATTGTTTAGATCAACTAATCAGTGCCATATTCTTACATGGAATCTACTGGATCAAATTGCCAGCCCCGCAGGACAAGAAGTTAGGTAAGCATTGAGTAGGGAAGCCTAATTGAACAAGAAGTGGTGAATTTCAAAAGGAGCTTTCACACATTTGTTTATTTTACCTGGGGTTAATTGCTGTAATGCACAGTAAAGAAAAGAACAATAACACATAACTTTGAAATCATATTTACTAAGTGATTGAAAAGTACTTAATTTAAATTTCGTAGACGCTATCTTCACTTTGCATTTCAACACTGGTCAAAACAGAACAGATTATCAAGCAATTTGGTGAAGTCGCTGATATCTCACATTGATTCTGAGCACAACAAGGTACAATTCTGTTGATATTTAAATTATTGTTCAGGTTTTTGTTTCAAAAGATGTTGTATTAATTTTGTAATGTCTTGAGTCTAAGACCCCCAAAACATCTGAGCCTCCAAAAGGAGTAAAACCCATGGCATCTTATAATGTTAGGGGCTTAATTTAACCATTGACCTACTGTATGGTGGATGTATACTCTCGTGGTGTTCATACATGTACGGTATGTGATATGTGTTATGCACATGGTTAGGCAAGAAACATTGGATGCATCATCAGTGATGATAAACGATGAAAGATGGCAAATTTTAGTCATGAAGAAAAAATGGGAAAGATGTTATTTTGCCTTTTTGTAATACTGTGGAAGTATACCATGTGCTTCTTAGTGAAATTTACTCTCCTTCTTGACTTGCAGTCAGCGTGGCTTTGTCTCGCAGAGATTGGGTCATCATCAAATAAACTGGATCATTCTTTTGTGGTCAAAAGTTGGAACGAATACTCTCAAGGATTGAAAGGTTTGTCTTTTAGGCCTTTAATCTGCCGTTGGCACTGGAAAAAGACTTCTCATTGTCAGGATTGACAGTTGATGTTAGATCCTTACACTGTAAAGTTCTGTAAACAATGACTTTTAATGAACCGAGTGACGTTGGTTTGCTTCAAACATTTCACAAGGTGGTGGGTCTTTAATTTTTGTGATTTTTTACAGCCTTGAAAAACGTGAAATTTAAGACCCGGGAAATTAAGTACCAATAAGGTATTTTTTTACTGACTGTTTTATTTCTCAGACTATGATTGTGAGACGGTTTGCCGTATTCTTGCTGTGTTGGGGAGTACTGCCCCTCTCCTTCCCTCTGATGCTGTTAGTACACTTATAGGTAGGTTTATAATTAGTTAGTTTGGCTCTTTGAAGTAAAAATATATTTAAGCTTGGGAGTGTGAAATTGTGGCTAGACCACCAGCACTGTAGAGGAGGGTTTGTACAGGTCACGGAAAACCTTGAAAATCATTAAATTCATTTTCCTGGTAGGAAAGTCATGGGAAATTAAAGTTATGTTAGATAGATTAGATAGACTGCAGATGTCAAAACAAGGACAGTGTTAGATAGAGATGAATAATTAAATGGCATAATTTTAGTGGACACCAAAGTTTGTGTCTGTTGAATTGAGTTAGGTCATAAAATACACTGAAACAAGGAAATTTTTAAAAATATTCAACAAGCCCTAAGGTCATGGAAAAAGTCATGAAAGGTCTTGGAATAAATTTACAGAGCTCAAAAGAGTATGAACCCTGTAAAGAAGTGACGCCATCACGCAAACTAAATTATAATGTCGTATGTAAAACAAAATGTAATGAGAAACAAAAAAAATCAATTTATTATCATCATTTTTATTTTTCTGCCCAGGTGACCTTCAGCGTAAGCTTATTATGTTTGATTGTTCACCTGACGTCATTGCAGCTATCATTGCTACTCTCTGCAAGGTATTTCCGTCAGTGATGACTACTATTCTAACTTAAAATGTGTGTGATGTTTTTCACCCTTTGATTTTAATTCTCAACATTATGAGAAGTGTGCACACATGAACCCATTTCACTGGGAAAATGCGATAGCCCTCATCATTCTACCACAGGTTTTAGTGAAAATGTCGTAGTGACGGAAACAAATTATCAAATGTTAAGAGTTTTATCATATCTTGATCGGGAGAGGGCTTCATTTCCTGTAATAAAAATAACTGTGTTAAGTTTCCTTGTGAATAAAAGGAAAAGAAGCTTTCCTGGGTTTCTATTTTTTTTTTAGAATACACAAAAATAATTTAAGTTAAATCTCGTCCTCATACTCCTGAAGATCTCTAATAATATTATTCCTGGACTGGTTAATGTGATAAATTAAGCAGTTAATAACATGCAATTCACACTTCCTTTTTTGCAGCTGTGTAAAGTACAGCCAGAGGAAAGGGTAAATGAAAAAAATTTGTGTGATTCTTTTGAAGATTTCACTAGTGAAGGATAGTGGAATATTACAAATAACTGCTGTCTTAAAAGAATGAATTATTATTTCAACAGATTTTAGTTTAATTATCATCGTCAGACTTGACTTCTCTAACAACAATATTCATTTTCATTCCTTTGCATAAATACTATCAACAATAGCAATTAACCTACAAAATCATATAATAGTAAAGTCATTCAGATTGGGTAGCTTAATGGTTAAAAATATTTTTTTGTAAATTGATTACAATATTACCAATTGTATCTCGGTATTAGATACTATGTACACTAAACATAAGTTTTCTCGTAACTTTGTAAATTATCATTGGCTTCAAAATAATTTTTAGCTTTTTGCTTTTATTTTCATAGGGAAGTACAGATCATTGGTGTTCTGATCTTTTAAAGGCTTCAGAGGAATTCCTCTCCAGTGTTGCCTTAAAACAGGGTGCGATAACTGATGAGGAACTACTCATGCGACACTTGTTTACTGTGGGGGAGGTGGCACAGGTGCACGTCAACTGGTTGTTATAATCTTGTGCAAATATCTTATGTGATCTATGAACTGGTGAAAAGGCTTAAGGGTTCTATTATCCCTTACAGAAATCATACTAACTATGCATAAATCAATCATTCATGAAAAATATGTAGTGTTTTCAATTGTGTTGCAAACAATTGCAAATTCTGTCATGTTCACCAAGAAGAGAAATTGCATTATTCAGATCACAATAGAGTGCTTTTTTTAAATTAGGTTTATATGACAGAAATGTGATGAAACATGATCAAAGCATCCATACTTGATGCGTTTTAGCATGTTAAGAGAGTTGACTCTTCATTTATGACTTTTCTGTCTGGGACATCAGCTTGTTCATGAGAGAGGTTACAAATCCACATTCTTTTCCAAGAATTGCTGCAAAGAAGATCCACAATACAATGTAAGAAGCAAATACTAAACAATTATAGCAACAGCTGTGTCCAAAACGCCATGGCAAAGAATCAAAATTTACCAGTAAGTAAGGTTATTTTTTTATTATCCACTTACAGCTTGCACCAACCAAGACCACAGAACGTCTGTTCATGTTTGTGGAATCCATGTTGATATCTCATAGCAGCAACAAAGAAGGTAAAGTGGCCCAGCCCGGCTGTGTACTCTTTAAAGGAAGATGACTCGTTTTCTCACAGAGTTATAGAATGATGTCTATTTGGCTTTGTCCTAATCTGTTTTGAAATGATAAATGTCACTTTTCCAGCTTGAAATGGTATTTGAAATTTTTTCAGTTACAGGCTCAAAAATAACTTAAATTCCAGCTTATTCTCTGGAAAAGCTGCTCTCATATTTTTCTTGCCCCTGGCCATCGTGTGCTTGTCATGTTGATGACTTGCTTGGACCCTCGCCTATGGGCTGCAGGAAACTTACAAAGTTACTTACCAAGAAATCTACTTCTTGAGCCCAGAATTTCTGGATTGTCCTCAAGTAAAAAAATGTCAAATATTTATCTAAGTAATTATGCCCTTTATTTCAGATCCTCTTCAAAAATTAAATCTTTCGCCACCAGTTAAAGCTCATGCATTTGTCACTCTTGGTAAGTAGTCTCAGTGCGGCCCGCTCAAACTATTTCTCTATGCAATGGTTGTTTATAGAGTTACTCAAAGATTTTATAGCAATCAATATAAAATCGGGTATAATATATAGCAACTTGAAAGTTTGCGTGGTTACCTTATCTTTCAAACCACTGTTTTATAACTTTGATTCAAATAGCCATGAACATCTAGGAGGTATTGTCCACGCATTTATAATGCTGGCAGTATGCAAGTAAGAACTGTGTTGAACAACAAGGAACTTACAGTCACTTAAGAATAAATATAGATACAAATGACAGTTTTGCTTTAAGAATTTTTCTCACTTACAGGAAAATTGTGCCTTCAAAATGAAGATCTAGCAAAGCAGTGTATCGCAGCACTTGCCAGGGAACTAGAAACTTCAAATGATCCAGCCATCCGAAATAACGTCACAGTAGTAATGTGTGACTTGTGTGTCAGGTAAACATTGATTCTTTGCCATAACTGCTTCTCCTTTTAAAAATTGAAGAGATAATTCAGAATAAAACCACATATTGCAACGCTAACTCTCCGTAGAAAAGCTGTGTTGTCAGAACTACAAGTCCTCTCACATGCCTCTGTTTTTAAAATCTACTCATACGTTCAGGCCGTATACAGCTTTTCAGTTAGAAGGGTTTGAGAAGGGTTACAAACGGAGCATTTATTTTATTTAATTATTTGTTTACAAAAGACATTATGATTGTCCATTTCCTTGTTTGAATTCAAACAACTCTTAGAGACATCGCAAATGAGTCAATAACGTATGTCATTATTAAAGCAACAGCGATCATGACTATCCGATATCCAGAGAAAAAATGGAAAAGAAGGGATTCCATCTGATGAGTGGACAGGGGAGGGTTGTAAATAAGTGGGTTCATAAGTGGAATATTTTTTCGTTTTCATGGGCCTGCGAGCAGGGATTGCGTCGGCTTATCACAAGACTACAAGTTGTGTGTTATTTTCCATAGAGATAGAAAAGTGAACGAAGAACACAAGCGCGTGTGAAAATCGCTACAAGCAAGGACGGTAACAAACTGAACAGGAATTATGTAATATGTGGCTTTTTTGTCCCGTAATGAACAGTTCTGCGAGAAATGACAGGATGGCCATCCTACGAAACAGTTTCAATTCTGCATCTCTTAGAGCCAATGTATTTTTTTGTCGCATTCAAGAGAACTGATGATGTGTTAAATGGTCGTCAGTTGTTACTTATTATCACTTTTTTTTTATAGGTACACAAGTCTGGTTGATCGCTATGTTCCAAACATTGCTGCTTGCCTTAAGGACGGTACATCACTTGTGCGAAGACAAACACTTACCCTCCTCACCCATCTACTGCAGGTATCAAAGTCAACACATGAACCATTGGCGGTGTTCATACTAGCGTCGGTTTATCTGTATCTTGTGTAAAAACGATCATACACCATTCATTGTTGTAATCACGCTTGATAAGTTCTTGAATTTGCAAGGGTCTTTCATCACATGAAAGTGCCGAGTAGTGTCAGATATATATATAAAAGAGGACCATGACATATTTGAGTATGACTTTAGAGTTGAAAAAAAAAACATTCATACAAAATTAGCAAGTGTTATGTGGTGTTGGATGTAAAATGTGGCTGGACCTTTCGCGAAAGGCTCTAAGTAATTCGAATTCGATGCTACAAATCTGTGCAGTGATTACGGATCATTTTCAAGTTCTAATAACAGGCAATTATGTCATGTTATGAATAAGTAAGTGCATGTGCTTAGTGTATCATCATTATTTTTAATTTTTTAATTATTATTATTTTTAGGAAGACTTTGTTAAATGGAAGGGTGCCCTGTTTTACCGCTTTGTTACAACACTGGTTGATGAAGATGTGGAGATTCGCAAGTTTGGTTTGTATCACTGATGATTTAATAACATTATTCATTGATGTTATGTGATGACGTCTTATTTTTGTTCTTGTTGTTGTTGTTTTATGGCTAGAAAGTTTTAGCCTGCGTAGTCGGCGGGATCATGTTTTTAATATTCTGCCGTCGCAGTTTTCGTCCCTAGAACTGCCCTACTGTCTTTGACTCTGGGTAGATTCACCAGCACTATTTAACAATTATTCCTCTCGCCCTCATGGCCTCTGAGCTATTGACTCAGAGACCATGAGTGTGAGAGGAATAATTGTTTTAGTAAAATCTAACTAGTCAAAAATATCGAGACAAAACAACTTTAGCTAGCAAAACAGGATTCAGCCGCCATTGTTTTGGTTTTCAAAGCCGGTCCTTTACGCTACTAGTGGACTATAACATATGTCCTAGTAGTAACTCAACCAATCAGCACGCAGAATTGGCTCTGACCACTCGCGGGATTTGTTCTCGGTCGTCCCGAGTTCAAACCCGAGGCCACGCTTGTAAACTAACTGACGTGAACTGGTTGTCTCTTGCCAGTTTTATTTGAATTATTTCTTGTGTATTTGAGTGGAGCACCTGTAAACTCGCTGGAATGAGCTATAAACAAGCCTCTAAACCTTTTCATTGCTTTGTCTTCTTGTATTTCAGCTGATTTTTGCCTGGTTCATCTTCTGCTGTCTAGACACCCAGGAATGCTCTATCAGCACTTTGTTGAATGTGTGTTCCACTTCAACTCCTTTGAAAAACACAAAGGTGAAGTAGCGACATCCGTAAGACTTTCAAAAATTACCATAAAATCCCAGTTCAAAGGTGGAGCTGTGTGATTTATTCTTCAGTCCGGATAAGCTGGTTTAATAGTCAGAAACTTTGTCAGTTATTAGGTCATTCAGCCGCCATAGATCTGTCCACTGACTCAGTCAGACAAAATACTCTTCGCGTGGCTTTTTTTACTTACTTTTGCCTTTTTGTTTTAGTATACAACAAGTTTGCACAGACAGATAGAGAGAAGAAACTGTTTTCTCTCAAAGGAGACCATAATTCCAGGTAAATTATCCTTTCTTATGGCTGATACCATCGTCATTTTTTGCAATAATTATAAGCAATAAAGTAATTTTAACAAATTTCCCATGTTTGCTGCGAAGACCCTTAAAGGCCTTTTTAAATCATTAGATTTATAAGAAAACGACTGCGAGTAATTATGTCTCTAACATCCAGATTTCTTTTTTCAGCAAACGATTCATCATATATCAGTTCATGCTAACTCACATGAGTGATGAAGACAGGTTTAATCTCACAGGAAAGCTTTGTCAAGAGGTTTGTTCTGAATGATCTCTGCACATAACAACTCTCAGTCAGAATTTGACTTGTTTTCTGTAATTAACCGCACACTATTGATGATTTAAAAGTATGTTTCATTAAATTCAGGTTTGAGCTAAAAGAAGTTTCATACAGCTTTGATATAAGCAAATGTTTGAGGATTCTATTGGTATAAACTTGCATAGAATTTTAACTTGTTCTGACTTGATTTGGGACCAATCGCGTATAATGATGACGAAAAAAAAATTAAAGATTCGGTAGTGGCTAGTGTTTGTTAAGAATCTTGTGACATACTGGTAGTATTGAAACCTGCTCTGGCTCTTACACGTGTATTCAACCATCTCAGAAAAACATTTATTGATCGTTTTTAAATTCTTTCTTCCTGGAGGTTCTGGGTTGTTTTACCGATGGTGTGATTAGCTTGGATCAAGATTCAGCTGCTGTTCTTAAAGACGCACTGCTTATCCTAAGTAGCAAGGTACAACTCTTCCTAGTTTGTGACATGCATAACAGTTGAAGTTACCTATCCTGTAAGATGGAAATGAAGCATCCAAATGTTTTGATACTCGCTTAGTATCGGTTTGTTTGAAGCCGAGAGAACAAATTTCATAGTCGCGATGAAATGTTCATCTGACAGATCAGAGCATTTTGTGGGTGGTAGGTATAGAGAGAATGTCCAGTATTAACGACGTTATTGCTCCAGACCAAACAAAACAAATACAGTCTAACCTCTCCTTACGGACACCTCTCTATTACGGACAGTTCGTTTGGTCCCAGGAAAGACAAAAATCATACATTCTCTACCTCTATAATACGAACACCTCTGTAAAGCGGACACTTGGTTTTGTCCCTTTGGTGTCCTTATTAAAGAGGTTTGACTGTACACACTTCAAAGCGAAACGGGGCAACTGCAAGCACATCAATCGTACGGCACGTATAGAATGTTGATGCTACTGTCCAAAGCCTCACTGCACACACTAGTGATAGTACAGGATAAAGGGCGCTAAAACTCCAAGGGAAATGTTAGTACGCTGGCAATTGCAGAGAAGGCTAATGTTACGCATTCTTGCTCTTAGTTGTGAAATAAGTTAAATTATATGTAGCTTAGCGCAGTGCCGTTTTGAAAAAAATGCAGCTTGATATAGTACCTTTCATATCGGAATATTTTATTTTCCAGAACATCAAACTGTCGTCCATGAGAACAAAGGCAGCAGAAGACCTCGCAGATGAGGGAGATGCGGCAGGAGCTGCTATTGTTCAAGCAAGAAACAAGTTTCTAACTCAGGTAATTTATCATTTGAGCAATGTCACGCAAATGATTTGGGAAAGAAATGCTTTTTCGTCAGTTTCCTCTTTCCCTCTTTGGGCTATTTTTTCCCACACAACACTGGTACAACATTACGTGATTTGTTGAAAACTAACGAGGACATAGCTTCGAAAAGTGGCAAAATTTTGCAGACGTTTGTCAGTATTGTAGAGGGCCTGCCTCGTACCCAGACGTCTCTCTCTCTCTCTCGATGAAAATGTGCGCGCAAAGGAAGGCAGGAAGCCTGAGGAGGAGACTGGTAGTGGGCAAGTTCGTGCCCCCCAGCATTCAACGTTTGTAAAATTTCGCGTTTTTGTAGAGCTATATCCTTGCTTGCGTTTAACGCGATATCACCTGGATTTAAACTCGGTAAGTTTCCTAATTCTAAGCCGCTCTTTCCGGCAGTGTCAATGAAAATTTGCTACCTGGTCTTTATCAAAACTTGAAAAATACCGTGGAAGGGTCTGTTGGTAATCATTTTCTACGGCATTTTCGGTAATTCAAAAACTGGACAAATTTTTTTACCATTTAAACTTGTCTACATCGTGGTCTCATACAGAAACGTTCTTTTGGCTCGTTACGCAGTTCGCCACTTTAGAAACAAAAAGGGAACTGCGACCGAAACACGTACCGCAATTGTTTCTTCGATCGTCACCGGTGACGTGCCGGTCAGCTATTGGCCAATTTCTAACAGTCCCAGAAGTCTTTTCGAAAGTCAACTCGGCTCGGTGTCCTCGTTTCTAAAGTGCCGAATATCAAAAGAACGTCTGCATAGCAGCAGTCTAGCGATATTTTGTGAAAACATCGTAAAGATAGAGAATAAAGTTCATACCCAGAATTGGAAAGGTCTTGGGTTAATCGTTTCTTAAATTATTGATCATTTTAACAGGTTTTAAAGAAGAACATGATTGAGAACATCATACCAATAATCATTGAACTGAAACACATGGTAAGGTCTTAATATTCTAGTCAAAGCCACTTTAAAAAGTAGTTAATAACCGTTACAGTACTTACTTTTCATGGACTCGTCTCAGTTCTTTGACTGTTATTTTGAACTATATCCACAGTACAGGTATTTACAAAGTTTTACTATAAATTGACAAACGAATTAAAATTTATCCAAGAAAACACTATATTAGTCTCTCTGTTTATTTGAGGCAGATGGCTAAGCGAAACTCGTAAGTTCGCGAAATCTCGCGTAACGCGAGGAGACGCGACGAGTGCCGGGAAAAGGGAAACAAATTTGAACCAACGATTTAACTATTTTTTCTTCCCTCTTCACGTCGCATCCCTCTGGGCGATGTTCTGCAAGCTCGCATATTTTGGCCTTGCTCCATAATCTGACAAGAATTAAAGAACCTGTTCTTACTCTGCTGGCTCCCTAAGCATCAGCGCTAATTATGCTATTGCATTTCAGCTTGAGAAGCAGCATTCTCCTTTGCTCAAAGAGCTGATGTTTTGTTTGAAAGAAGTAATGAAGGATTACAGATCTGAAGTTCAGGATGTGCTGTCAGCGGACAGGCAGCTAGCAAATGAAATTGAGTTTGATCTCAAGAGGTTTGAGGAACAGCAGAAAGAACTTGAAGAACAAAGAAGGAAACAAAACACTCCCAACAGCTCTCCACAGGTGTAACAGCGTTTAATTTTATCTTTTATTTTCACTCACCTTTGTGCGAAAAGGAATACACCATGTCTTGTTCGCTCTTAGCCTCTATTTCAGTACTTAACCTTGCACACCACCGCACACTTGAATGAGTTACATTTGCGCGTAAATGAAGAATTGTCACGCTAGGAAAGGATGGCACAAGATGCCAGTCGCACAAAGCTTTCTGCAGACGTAAATTCTAGAGTTAAAAAATTATAGAGTTTGACTCGGCCTGACGTAAAGAGTTGTTCAGCTAGCCCAGGACAAGGTAATTCAGAGCTGGCCTAGATTTTGCTCTGTTGTTCTACTAAGAAAAAAGGAATGCACACGTCCTTGCTTCATTGCTTCTTTAACAGCAGAGACAACCGTGTTCGAGCAAGAAGTTATTCCGCATTAAGGATTTTCATCTATCAGTAACAAAAAGATTTTCCTACAATGTATTCAGATGATATTACCAACATAAACAAGCAAAAACTATTTTTTCATTGTTTTCTTAGGTTATTGTCAACAGGCAAACCCCGTCAATCGGGAGCACCCCTGTCCAGGTTGCAGAGTTTGTTACTCCACAGCTACGGAATGCCACGCCCTCTCCCAGAAATGGTAAAGTTAAAGATTGTAAGGGCGCTTTTCATTTGTCAGAACTGGCCGCCCGGACCATTGCCCGACCAGTCAGTTTGAAAATGAAATAGGCTTTTTCCAAGAGTTTTTGCTGAAAAACCATCTCCTTGGTGCTTACGTTTTGGAATTTGACTGATCTGGTTGGAGAGTTGATTAAAAAGGAAATTCTCATTGCGACGGGAATGGTCTGGCTGGTCAGTTCTGACAAATGAAAAGCGCCTGAAGTTACCATCGATCGCTTGCCGCTGATGCTGCTTGTTGCGCACGCATACTTAATCATAGTGACAGAAAACTTTTCCTCTTTCCGTTCATCATCATCATCATCATCATCATTTATTAGCCTTTCTGTTACAGCAAATTTTACAGAATACAGCAGGTTGTTAGGCGAGGAGACCTCAAGAAATCACCAGGTTTATAGGAAAGGCCACCTCGACATCACAATATTGTATCCCATAAAGCCCTTATTTATCACCCTCAAACTTTACATAAGCGTTGATTGCAGTTCCTCTCGCCACAATACAAATTTTAAGAGAAACTGAAGCAATGATACGTGATACGTTTATTCTATGATGTCGCTTGTCCTAGTAATAAAAATTTTTTTCCCTTGTGGAATTTTTCCTTTTTCAGCGACCTCCAACATTTCTCCCCTTGCCAGTGCAATAGGGCGAATGCAAATCAACAGACGTCACACCATGGCGGCTGAGCCACAGATGAATTCTCCACGCACCAGAGCTCTGAATTCCAATCTTTCTGTGTTGATTAGCCCTCTTCAAAACAAACGACGACACACTCTGACCACAGCAGCTCTTCTTAATTCTGCTCGCAAGGCTGTCGATCAAGCACATAGGATTGCTGAACAAAACAAGAAAAAGAGCATCGGTCACATTGAAGACCCAAAAGAAAGCGGTGCTGTGAGAGAGGGACCTGAAAAACGCACTCCTTTGAAACCTCTAAATCCCAGGGCTCTAAGAAACAATGATGAAAGAGCGGCCAGCACCCCTGAAGGTAATATTTACTTGTATAGGTTTTTAGAATATACAATTTTATGAGAGAAATTTAGCACCAGGTCCCAGTTGTTAAAAGGTAAATAACGCTATCCACTGCGGGGATAGCGCAATTAGTTTACCTATCTACTTATCCACTACATAGTGTTTTATCCGGTGAATAGCGCTATCCAGCTTTTGAATAACTGGAACAAGTAACAAAATATCGCATCTTGACCTATTTGCCCATAACATTGCGACATTTAAGGTGACGGCGATTTTCCGCGGCCGCCTAAAGAGAGCTACAAGGGCGGCTTTTACAATTCAGTAGTTTTAGATTTCAGTGTATTTGCGGAAGTCATCTTATTTACATATTTGACATTGTGTCTTGTAAGTATTTATAACAGTAATCATCTTTGGTTTTAATCGCAGGGGAAACAACTCATTTATCAAGGATTTCATTTTGTGTGAACAACAGTGCTACAGCGCCACCATCTCCTATACCAACATCCTTGCCAATCAGGGTGTATCCTGAGGATAAAGGTATGTCTTGTCTTGACATCTGAAAGCTGTACAGGCTGCATCCTCTTTAGGCGTTTCGTTTTCCCGTTTTTTGAACAGAAACGAGCGCGAAACGCGAGTGACTAGTGACGAAACGCAAGGTGCTATGGGAAGGCAAAAAAAAGAGACTTCTGAGTACGAGGCAGTTGTGTAGGCCTCTCTCATTACTCCTTTGATGACTTCTTTTCCATCCGACCATCTCCAAAAAAAAAAGGAGAGAATTCTTCCAGGGTAACAACTTAGACATTCTCCTCCTTAGAGGCCTCTATGTATCGTAGGCAGGCTGGGGAGAGGGGAAAATGAAAGCGCGCGGGGGTCGATGGGAAGGGAAAATCGAAGCCGCCGTTTCCCTCTTCCCATCGTCCCCCGCGCGGTTTCTATTTTTCGATCATTGCTTTTTTCATTGGGATACTCAGCGAGAGCCTCTGCGGAGGAAAGAGCAACTTAGATACCCATGGATAGCCCTTACACGTGCTTACGTCAGACGTTACGTCAGTGATTTCCCGAGGCAGTGAGTTAAAAAGAATATCCACGCACGAAGAATGTAAATACAAAGAATTTTGCTTACAAACGAGGCGTGGTGATGAAATTTGCTCGTCGGACGTGATCATGCACAAGTGTCTTTCTGATCAGCTTTGGTAAAACTGAAACGGGCATTTTTTTAAGAAAACTGATAACAACCCAACTATGTTTCTTTCAGAGACTTCACCAAGCTGGGTAGAAGGCAAAGCTACTGAAGCAGAAGAGATTGAAGATGGAGAGGAAAACAAGGAACAACAAATCATCTGTTTAATGTCACCTGAACAGAAGTATGTATAAGCTATAAGGGACTGGTCAAAACGTACTGGCTGGTGGGCGGGCCGGAGCATTTGGAAATGTGGTGTATAAAAAAACCCATGGCCCACCCCCACCCCACTCTATACTTTTTGACCAGTCCCTAAAGGACAAAAACACCATCGATGGGGTTCCGTTGATATGGACATTTTATACTAGTCCAGAATCAAGTACGCATAGTCAGATTAAACTATGTAGGCATACAACTCATTTTACTCACGCTTAGTGTTGCTGCTTTGAATGAAAGAATTATTTTTGTTTTTGTAGGCCTCCAAAACCCAGGACTTGGAATATCAAATCTCCAGTAAGTAATCAAGATTCATATTGAAAGTCATTGATTCCATTTACATTCAAATCTCTCGTAAGATCACCCAAAATGTGGTCATGTTGGTGTACCAAGACAATCCTGTGGGAGTTGAACTCTTTTCTCATGTCTATGATGTAAACGCTTTCTTCTGTTCCATTGAGTAGATACTGATAACGTGAGTGAAAATGCTGTATAGCCGATGAAAGAAGCGACAGCATCCCAAAAACATTCCCCCCATACAGTAGAACCTTGAACCTCTATATAACGAAGTCCTCGGTATAACGAAGGAGTTTGTTTAAAAATATACGGAAAAGTACCTTAATATAACGAAACCTCGTTATAGCGAACAAGTTTTGCCAGTCCCTTGGCACTTCGCTAGGTGTAGTGCACTTGACACAGCATCGACCCAATTTTACACACTACGTATCCTCATTTTAGCTATGGGTCGTTGCCACTTACATGGGAAAACCGAAAATTCCGGTTGGAAGATCAAATGGTTCGCGCCATTCCGCTTGGGAAGTTTCAGGAAATATGGGCTGTGATTTGAGGCAATGCAATTTTTCTACCCTTTTTAGTTTTTCAGCTGATTTGGTTATACTTTGTAGCGAATTTTTCTCCCACCATGTCAAATTTTATAATTTTATGTTTATGCCCAAGATTTCCACCCGCGCAGTTTGTGTAATTGTTTAAGTCCCCACGTTTCCAGTCCCCTGGGCCTTTATATTGGGGTTCTACTGGGCATAAATTGCGAAATCAGGGTTGAATTACCCCGAATGGCACATACGCTATAAAGTGATTTCCACTTGTGAATTGAGACTGCCTCAATCAAAGTTTTAGATTTTTTGTGAGTTGTGATCAACTTTAAATTTTCGTGGACAAACCCAAACTGTAATGTAACTTACCCTTTGGTTTATTGCGTTTTCTAGGATCGCAAAAGGCATTCTACCAGGAAGGCAAACAGCCAATCACAGAATGATTCTGTTGCCGGAAGGACAAGGTCTCGGAAACGAAAGTGACCGTGAAACGCTAATTTTACTGCAGTTTTTAAGTCATTTTATATTTCTAATCTCTGGCAACATCAAAATCACCAACAGAAGCTCAAAATTGAATTTTTTTAATCGCCTTTTTTAAAAATTATATTCCTGATTTGTTAGCTCATAATCGTAGTGTTGAGCTGTGTTTTGGAAACAATTTTGTAAGTGAAAAAAACATCGGTTCGTAGTATTTTCGTAGAGTTGAACTATTGTGAACGTAATCATTATCTTTTTATAGCATTTCTGCAGAAATACATTTTACGTCATTAGTTAAGTAGTATCGTAGTATTGAAAGGGACAATAAAAAGAGTATGGTTTTCTAATCACGTATTTGCTGTAGTTTCTATTCCGAAAGAGGAGTGAAAAAAACATCAGGAACCGTTGTCAATTTAGGACGAACGTCCTGTACGGAACCGTAAACACTGAGAAACCTTTGTTTATGTTCCTAGTATCATTAACTCATGCAATTGTAGTTTCCAAATTGCAAACAAACGTTTGTATCATTTTAGTTTCTTTTCTGTCGAATAGAGACAAGCAAACTTCCCAGACAGCTGACCCCATGCCGTTTTTGACACTAAAAAACAGGGGCAGATGATGGTCGGTGATATTTCCATGTTTTCTTGTGTTATCTTTGGAATCTGTAGGTAGGCGGGGCTGCAAAGGTTTTTTCACTTCCTCTTGAAATCTATTTTAGGTGGCGGGAACCTAGAGAAAAGTAAGAGGTTTTTTTCTAGTAAACTTCTCGTACGATCCTTTCGTGAAAATTTAGTTTCATTTTCAAAGCATTAAGTCATTCAAGTCTTGGACAGGTAGATGCACTTAAGGTGGGTACAGACACCCTGGATACGCCGCTGCCTTGATTTAAATCGACACAATGAAGGTAGTGTTGTTCGTGAATGATAATAGGAAATCCTTTATGGTTATTCAAGGTTGTTAGGAAATGAACAAAGCGATTTTAACCTTGTATTTTCTCTTGCTGCCCAAAAAATCTGAGTTGCCCAAACTTTGGGGGGGCTGCAGCCCTCTTCGCCCCCCCGGCCCGTACGCCTATGTTAGGAAATGAACAAAGCGATTTTAACCTTGTAAGAAAAAAAATACAAAGCAACGTCAGGGCTCTAAGTTGCTGATTTGCCTAGGAACAGACACTTCTCATTGATCGAGGTAAGCATGTTTTAAAGTTTGAAGTGGAATGAAGTAAAACAGCTGTTCATCGAAAGTACATGCGTTTCTATCCCAAAAGTAAGTGATATATAGGAATCCTAACCTGCAGAATAGGCAGTATTTTTTCGTGTGTTTAAGACGAGCAAGAGGCGGGAGACATGCGTGACGGCCGGGGTAAGAGATGAGAGGGGAGAGGAACAGAATAGGGAGGAGGGAGAAAATGAAATATGGGAGTAGGGAGATAATGAGAAGGTAATTTTATGGTTTTTTAACTTGCGGGATGACAAGGGATGGGTCGATGGGGAATTTGACGTCCACTGCGATCCCTTTGGGTCTCCTGGGACTCCCTTAAAAGCATGTAATCAAACTTGACACATTTCAGATTACCAGGTTTAAAAATTGACCACAGACAACACATGACTCGTGCACTTGGTCGTAAAGAAAGTCATCTGACCTTTAGGCCTTTGTTCTAACTGATACGTCCTTAAGAGATTTTCCCTTGCGATAAGATATGAGGGGAGGCTCCTTAAAGATTGCTAAATTAGCCATTGTTGGTTTTGCATAAGGTGCAATTTTCCCATTAGTATTTTCGTCAGGCTAGGTAAAGCTGGGTGGTATTTTGTAACAAAAGGTAGTAGTTTTTTACGGGCAGATTTGTTTCTCTGTTGAGGGGCTGTTTTCCTGTCGGCAAATTGTACCTCAGGGAGGTACTTTCTCACAACAGCGGTAAGTAACCTCTTTCTATCAGGGGATTATCTTCTCCTTTAATGAAGCCTTTCTTCACACCTGGTAGGTGACAGGAGTAGAAGTTCATGTACTGAAAAGTTTCCGTTGGTTTGTAATGTGTTTCCAAAACCAACGGCCATATAACACAATAAACATTCCTGAAATATTTCAAGTGTTTACAGCTTTGTTAGTTTGATTTATTACATAAGAAACAACTAAATCGATTATTCATGCTTTGGTAATTTCAAAAGTTGATTTCTGCAATGCCTTCCTGTATGGGCTACCAAACTTCACAGCCTTAAATCCCCTTAGTTCAAAACACAAAAAGACCCTCAACTCTTGTAGTAACTATTGTTATAGTAACAAAGCACCCGGGCCGGGTTGCATAAAACCTTCTTAAGAAAAGAGGGCTCTCATCTTTTGTTCTGGAACAATAACCTATTGTTTAGAAATAATAGTTACAAGTTCCCTTAATCTTAAGACGTTTTTTGCAACCCGACCCAGAGGAGTAGCAACACCCATGGTGTATTGTGCTACAGCCACCCGGTAGGCTAACCTTATAATTTCCCCTTTTGTAAGTAGTCAATGACACTTTTTAACAGTTGATGCTGTCAGTAAGGGACTCCAAGCCTTAAGAGGCTGTCCGCGTAAGAACCGATAAGGCAAATTTCGGTGTATCACGGATTGCCCTGATTTTTTCAGTGGAAGATAACTATCCTATCCCATGAAGAAATATCACATTTATTTGGACCAACTCAATTTTTTCTCTATATTACAGGAAGATTTTCTGGGTCACCTAAAACTGCCCCTTTTGCCTTCAGAAGTGGTGCGATTTTGGTGAAACTTTAGGGCTCTGTCAAACCTACCTTACATAGTCGAATAAGCCGATTATTTTACACACAAAAGTTTTAACTCTCATTAACAGTGTCAAAGTTTAATGGTTGCATTCTGTCGAAATTTGGCTGAGATATGATTTTTTGAAAATGACCGTTAATTTGCTCAGCAGGAAAAGTAATTTGCATAACTAGAGCTGAACGGTAATTTCGCGAAAGTGGCACCTGACCCAGACTCAAGTCTGTGATGAATCAGAAGTACTAAGACCAGTCTACTTCTTAATGCAATAAAATTTGTGGGCACTCTTCTCTGCGCGCTGTACAAAGTTCCGTTAATGTTACAAATTCGCCATTTTGACAGCAAAGCTGGAATTGTAACGGTCCGCACTTGATCGACTAATTTCCACAGTTTTAACGTTTCTAGTTATGACCAAATGTCATTAGACCCTTTAAATGTTGGACTTTTGAAAACATGAGGAGAAAACTTGGTAATCGCTTTTTCCTTCCTTTTTTTTCCTGGTCGGCGATCAGAACGCGACTTCATTCTCCGTATGCAAATTAGCCTTAGATGCGTCGTTTCAACAAATTGATTTGACAGGAAACATAACTGCTTATATTTCACATTTTTAAGCGAAAATATCTCTTAGAACTTTCCACCGAAAAACACGAACGATATATGACTTAGAATCCCCTTAGGTCTGTTTCACGATGATGAAGTAGTAGAAGAAGATATGTTTACGCGAATGAAAATAATTTAATTACTGTGGCCCGTCACGCATTCCCCGAGAGTGGCTGTGTATCGATCAGTTCTTTTATCTGATTATATTTTTTTTGAAGTGATAGTTATTGATAATCATACAATTTAATCACTGTTAATTCCGATTCTTTACTGGGTGGGAAATACCGTGCTGTTGTATTTATTCATTCTACGACCGTTTTAACTGAGTCAGTATCCCCGGGAGTTACCGTGAGGATAGGGTTTGATATGACAGCCCATGGTGTAATACACGACAATTAGCTACAAAGTAGTCACTTGGACACGGCCACTCTTATTCACGAGCACTAGCACAATATTTTCAATTACAGAATCAAAAATTAATATTTTGGAAATAGCTCGCAAACAACTTCAGAGATACCGTGCGACAGCATAGGACCACACCTGCAAAGTACTTTCATTTCCTAGATCCCTTGCTAACCATAGGCTATACAAACATTAGGGTGGTGTAAACAGAGCATTGTGTTTATCGCCAATTAACAACATTTCAGTAAAAATGAGGAATGGCATGCAGAAAAAGGCATAGTTATTGTTTACGGTCCTTCTCAGTGTTAAATCCCAAAAGTTTTGCCGGCTGTTAATCACACTAAATTAAGGATCCATACTTCACTCCTGAGCTGTTGGAGAAAAGCACGTGCAATCTTGTATGAAAGACGAAAGTTTGTCAACTAGGTCTCCTTTTCTTTCCCTGGATTTGAATGGTATTTTAAAGTGACACAAGATTTTTTTAGCATTACCACGTTGAACTGACTAGGTTGTTCTTCCTTTGACATACACATAGGTTGAAAGCTTCTGGTTGAGGGTGTTGTGGTCTCAATTCTTCAGCGATTTCTGTAACAAGCTTTTGCCTTTCGAACTCCTCGTCTTCTTTCAACAGATCTCTATGGTCAAGTTCAACTTGTATACACTTAGGATTATGTTTACGTGTTGACTCAAACGGGCCTAGAGTCCAACATGGGCTGGCAATAGGTGAGCACGGAATTGGAACGGGATTGGGGGGAACTCCCTATGATGGCCTATACGGGGAGGTTCCGCCCGAAAGGAGTATCTTTTTCAGGCTTCAGGTATATGAAAGGGCGGGCATTTCGCTAGATGAATTATATAAAAGGGCGAGTGCGCTTATTGCAGCCTTAGCAGCATCTTTGGTGGTTCTTAAAGAAAAAAGAATTAAGTTTAAGAATTTAAGGAAAAAGTAGAAGGACTTATTTTTTCAGAAATTAATATACACGGGAGAAATTTCACCCTCTTAAATACAAATGCTTATTAAAGTAGAGGTGGAACAGTGGGGAGAGAGGGTGGATGGTAAAGTAGGTTAAAAATGGAGGGGTGAGATGAAGCACATTGTTCAAGAGGGTATAAATACAAAAAAAAAAACAAAAAAAAAACAGCAATCTGGAGGCATTTTTGAAGAAATCTTGTCCAATAAACCTCTCCGCCAAATGTGTGGACATGGTTGCAGACTGTTCAATCGTGCTCTTCTCGACCCTTCGGCGTCAAGTTTTTTCAAGTTTCTTGCGACAGGAGGAGCAAATCGGCTATATAAAGTTGAACTGAACACTAAGGTACTTTTAAGTATCACTAATTTTTACAAAACCCAGAGACATGTTTTAAACACTGTTTAAGTTCAAAAAAGTTATTTTTATTGCAAGAATGAAATACTTTTCATACACGTGAACGACACCTCGACCACAATCACTCCTAGCCTCGTCCCCAGGACATTCTTCTTAGAAAATGACAGCGGCGGGAAAGCCCTGGGGACGAGGTTGAATCCTGACTCCCCATTTATAATGCTCTTCAAACAATCATCAGAAAACAATCTTTCAAAACACACGGATTAACCGGTATGTATAGTATTTTAAAGGTAAGAATTGATTAGGGCAAGATACACGGCTGTCAAAAAAATAGAAATAACAAAAACTATCTTTGCAAGCTCAAATAAACTGGAAACGAACTTCAGAAAACATCGCAAGATAAAATGTTAAATAGAAAAATTAAAATATCTCTGTACGTTAAGACAATTGTTTGCATGAAGAAGAAAAAAGAATGATGGAACAAAACTTTGACTTATTTCGCTGGCTATCTGGAAATTTACGACGTGTCTTCCTGCCACAGAAGTTATTTTGCCAGTATGATCCAGAGTGTGACCGGGGTATTGACAAGACCTTAGTCTCGATTTCCGCCCTCTCCCCTTCCGTTGGGGGCTCGTTTTCCAGAACAGCGGCTTACAATCGAGCCTAACAAGACCTTGGCGCTCGCAAAAACCTGTGCCTAAAGCAGATTGTCATTTTAGTGTTAGCCTGTTTGCACACTACCCTCCCCCCCTTGGGAGAAGCGGCCCCTTCTCCGATTTTTCCTGAGAGGAGGGGGTCTGTACACAGGCTATTTAGTGTCTGTGCCTTGGGCAGATTGTCATTTCAGTTCCGAATACCCACCAAGCCTCGAATACGTACTCTCGCTAAAATGAGTTCATTTTCATTGTCTTTGCTACACTTGCAACACTTAGACAAGTGACAGCTGGCTAAGTGCGAGGTAATATCATCCATGCACTCTGTGACCAACACATTTTCCTCCACACCCCTTCCGGGACCTCACTCTGTCTACGATCTCGCGGAAGAACTGCTTGATGAAATAGCCGAAAAAGCCATTTTTCACAATTGATCTCTTCGGCGATTTCAGTGACATAATTATATTTAATTTGAAACTGGCACCTGTTGCATTATAATTCAATCAGATTGAAACCAAAACAAGATCATCGTTGGAATTCGGATGTTATACCCTAACAAAAACTGAAAAGATACTCCCTTTTGCGTTTATTCACTGAAAAAAGGAACTATTTTTCCCTTTTCATTCTGCTACCGATAAGCTACCGATAAACACTTTAAAGATCTTTGAATGAAACTGAAATTTACCGCTAATTTAAGATAGAAAAAGTGTGGGGCCTTTTTTTTTTTATCATAGTGCCATGTACAAAGATCTGCCTTCTCCCGATAAGCAAATATCATAATAAAGCTTTCGACGTTAACGCTGTTTTTTATAAAGGCACGCAAAAAAGAGTGCCCAAACATTTTCGTGTGCTCACAGGAGGAATTACCTTGCAAGTGAACTCTTATATTATTATCAATAACTATCATTTAAAAAAAAGATGATAATATTATCGAATTGATCGACACAACGCTATTGTTTTCTAATCGACCACCCGTCTTTAGGAATGCGTGACAGGCCACAGTAATTGAATTATTTTAAGCCGCAAACATGTATCATGATATATTATTCAGCTGCTTCTTCCTCGTTAAAAAAAAAAAAAAAAAAAAACAGACCTTAAGGGGATTCTAAGTCATGGTTTGTGTTTTTCTGTGGAAAGGAGAATTATTTTTCCCCTTAGAAATGTGAAATGTAACGATTATATTTCCTGTCAATTTGTTGAAACAACGCATCTAAGGCTAATTTGCATACCGAGAACGAAGTCACGTTCATCGTCGACAAGAAAAAGACCCAAGGAAAAGCGATTACTAAGTTTTCTCCACATGTTTTCAAACGTCCAACATTTAAAGGGTCTAAAGATATTTAGTGATAACTGGAAACGTTAAAGCTGTGGAAATTAGTCAATCAGATGCGGACCCGTTACAATTCCAGCTTTGCTGTCAAAATGGCGAATTTTGGAACATAAACGGAACTTTGCACGACACGCAAAGAAGAGTGCCCACAAATTTTATTGCGTTAAGAAGTAGACTGGTCTTAGTACTTCTGATTTATCATAGACTTGAGTCTGGGTCAGGTGCCACTTTTGTGAAATTACCGTTCAGCTCTAGTTATGCAAATTACTTTTCCTGCTGAGCAAATTAAAGGTCATTTTCAAAAAATCATATCTCAGCCAACTTTCCACAGAATGCAACCATTAAACATTGAAACTATTAATAAGAGTTAAAACTCTTGAGTGTAAAATAATCAGATTATTCGGCTATGTAAGGTAGGTTTGACAGAGCCCTAAAGTTTCACCAAAATCGCACTACTTCCGACGGCAAACTGACTAGTTTTAGGTGACCGAGAAAATCTTCCTGTAAAAAAGAGAAAAAATTGAGTTGGTCCAAATAAATGTGATATTTCTTCATGGGATAGGATAGTCATCTTCCACTGAAAAAATCAGGGCAATCCGTGATAGACCGAAATTTCCCTTATCGGTTCTTACGCGGACAGCCTCTTAAGCCTCTTGCAAATGGAAGTAACATTGTTGGCCAACAACTCTCAACAATGTTGGATGTTACATGTTGCGTCCGTTTGCACACCCTGTTGCATGTTTTTGAGTGTTGTTGCACAAAGTTTAAAACCAGTCAAACTTTTGAGTCAAAAACTTCCAACATTTCTTTTGTTCCGTGATGGTAGAGCATAGTGCAACAGTGTTGGAACCGTTTGCACAGCTTTTCCAACATTGTTGGGGCCACACATCTGCATTACACATGATCTCTAAAGTCTTATGGCTTGTATCCTTCCCACAATGCACTGCAGGTCCCAACATTGTTGAGAATTGTTGCACCGTTTGCACACCACTACCAACACGGACGCGACAACTCCTAACACTGTTGGCCCATCAATGTCGGGAGTTGTTGCGTCTGTTTGCATGTATGCAGCTTTAAAAAATGCCATAGACCATTTATAAAAGGAAAATTTTTGTAGAATAGTTTACCATCCCCTTTTTAATGTCTTTTTTTCTGTGTCTGGTATAAATAAAATTCTTGGCTTGTTGTGTCTATTCATTTTGTTACAGCATTCCCTGGCGAATGGGTGGGCGCTTGGAAGTCAGTCTTCCAGTAAGAATCTCTGAATACTGATGATGTAGCTGTTTCATACTATCTGTTTACCAATGTCTAATTCTCGCCAAAAGAAGCAATGATCCAATCACAGAAAGATTCCTTGATGCATGCTGGATCTGATGCCAAAACTCCACATGGCTAGAACTTCGGAACCAGTACCTGGTGTTGAAATCCACTAAGGCTGTTATGATCACTAGTTGCCAGGCAACAATTCGTGCAAAGTAACCTGCCTCAAATCCACCATAAATACAGAGTCCAGGAATGACATAGAGTGCAATCACTATAATGATCATGATCTGACCACCAGGAATGTTCTTAATATGTGCAAGGCGATCCTCATCGCTCGCCCACACCATGTAAGCATTACAGAACAGATAAAATGCAAGAATTTGTCGAGCTAATTGCAGAGCTTGTGTCACAGTTGCATGACCTTTTTTGCCGTCTGTGAGTCCACCAGCAACAAACAGATATCCAGCACATACAGCTGCAGTTCTAAATGCCATCCTGACCTGGGAAAAAAGAGAGAAAAAATTATTATCTTGCAATCTTTTGATAGTACAAATTTGGTTTCTAATCATTTCAAAAAGAGAAGCTTAATCTATTAAGATGCAAGTTGTTTAGAAATCTTTCCCCCACCCGCTCATAATGATTTATTTTTTCCCGTTCCAGGTTTACTATATTTCACCTGTAAGCAAAAACAGTGCAACTGACTATTAGCCCCATCAGATATAAGCCCCCATTACCTGTTGTTTTCTTGAATTTGATTTATGATAATGTTTTGAGGTTTAATTAAAAACCAGTAAAAGCAAAACCTGTTTTGACCAGCCCTACTATATCTTGTTGTAAAGCGCTTTTTATATTCCAGCTTTAAGCTCAATCAGATGTAAGCCTTCCTAAGAAGGTCTCAATGAGGTTAACCATCAGTCGTCAAATGGCCTAAAATTTAATCCTCAGCCATCAAAACAGGTAATTTTAAGCCATCAATCATCAAAAATGCAGATAAATATTAACCGTCAAATGTTTCGAGATATTTATAATATTGCAATTTCAGCTGATCTTAATGGACTTCTGGTTTCTGAAGAATCTCTAAACTGGAAAAATCAGTATCCATGTTTCGAAAAACACTTTCTCTGGATACTAGACACTACATCACCTTAACACTTGCTTATATCTGAAAATATTTTGAAATTTTGCAAGTGAAAGGTCAAGACATTCTCCAGAACAAAAGTTACTATTAACTTATACAGAAGGTAATATTAACCTAAACTTTTCAACTAAATTTCACTTGATAATCATCAACTGTCAAAAGCTCGAAAAATTTAACCACTAGCCGTCAAAACTGAAAAAAATTAACCATCCACCATCAAAGCTATACCGTCCCGATGATACCCTCTCCTAAAACCCCCTAACAAAGATGTATAAACCCACAGCTCACAAGCAGCAATACTCAGTATCTGGAAGTTCACAGCGGTCAAACAAGTGAAATTTGCAAAAGTTAAGCGAAATACTTCAAAGTTAAGGTTGCTACTTTCACTATCGAAAGTTTAGGGTATTATCAACATCCTGATAGTTTACTAAACTTTTTAAAAGTTTACTAAAAAAGTTCTAAGTGATTGAAAACCGATGCTGACGTTATTATAGGCACCATTTTCAAACATGATTCATGATTTTTCTGGAAAGATAGTTATGTTGACTAACTGATTTATACATCTTTGCCCATTTTTCTCTAACTGGTAAATGAAATCCTAGCAATAAAAAACAAAAATAACAATTTAGACGTTTGACCGCGGTGGTATCTGAAAGAAACTTCACATTTTATCCTAAAGAGAGGAAACGAGCTGTTTAGCCACATTTCATGACTCTGTTCTGCCTTTACTTTGGATAATATAGTCTTTTGAAGTTTTAAGTCTGAAGCTAGGAAAAGAGATTTTGCAGTTTGTGGTTTATAGTTTTCATGTTTCTTCCATCCAATGCCTCTATAAACAGAAGAGGTACAAGTAAAATAATGCACAACCCTCACAAGGTCTCAATTCATTACCAGGGTGCTACCCGTTAAGAAAATAATCTTGATAAATTATGAAAACTTTGATTAGCTTTCATTTACATTTTTATACAGACATGTCACCCAGCCCGATTTTTCACTGAACACTACCAACAGAGTTTTTTTAACCAAAAAAACACCATAAATATTCTTGATTAAAAGTGAATCGTGTAACATCACGTTACACACCAGTTACTAACAAAAAGTCACGACCATTGTTCTTCAAGCACTTACAATCAAAAATTCCGAGTAACGCTCTGTTTGATAAAGAGTCACCGCTGTATAAACTATTGCATGCAAAAGTGCAGCAAAGCCACATTTCCTTCTTTTGAAATCCAAGGTCATTCCCGTTCCACAGACAAAGAAGATCGCGGCATTCAAGTACACGAGAATGTACTCTTGCTTCAACGTGTCCTTGAAGCTCGTTATCTTAAGCCCTGGAGCTTTTTCAGCCCGTTCTCCGGTGGACATAAGAAGCAGAAATAACTCGATAAATGGAAATCGAGTGACGATGAATAGTCCCAGAGCGTCCAACAGCCGAAAAGTCCTTTCTAACGTGGTCATAGTGAAAAGATCAAGGAATCAAAGAGGACAGACAGAAATGAATGGACATATAATATGCGCCCGCAGTTTGGCGAGGTTGCACGCACACGTTTTCTTTGCGAGGGAGGAGCTAGAGAGAAATTTTTTTCATCTTACAAATTTCGTGTTTATTTCATTTGTATTCAATAGATTATTCCTACATTGAAATCCTACATTTTTACACCAATTTTATGATCACTTTAACACTTAATTGGTTCTCAAAAGGAAAAAAGGGAAAATCAAACTTACTAATTACACTGACTTTTTCAATACTTTCTATACCCCCCTCAGAGTATTTTTGTTATCCTTCCTCCCCTTGGAAACACAACGACTTTTGACCCAAACGCAACGAAGAGCTACGGTTGTAGCTGATGGCGATCTTCAAGGGTTTCATCATGTTTCTCAAAGAAAGTCTTCCCTAAGCCTGTGGTTTGAAAGAAAGGTTTTAGGAAAAGAAGGGAGCTTCTGTCAAAAGTCGCGGTAAGTCTGTTTTTTAAAGCTTGATACATGAAAGAAAATAAGAAATCATTTTAAAATTGGAAAAGAAAAAATGAAATATTCGCTATTTGTTGTACTTGTTGCAGAGGCGGAGCGTTTAAATTTTATTGCTTTTCGCGGTTTTTCCTGCTTTTTTTTCTGAGGTGTATTTTATTCAACGGTGTGTCCGGCGTGTTCCCCTTTTCACCAGAAGTAAGAATTTCTAAAAGAAAAATAATTTTCTAATGTTATTAAATACATGTACAAATTCAAATGTAGAGTATCTTGTAGCTTGTTTGGACTGTCCATTTCCGACGAGAACCATTAACCATGATTACGAGATTCAAAGAAATATAGCGTCTGTACGTTGAAATTAAACGAATGATTGAAACTTCCTTTATGTTCGAGTTTTGGGTAAGATATCTATGACCGTTTACTTGTAATCTAAAAGAATTAACGCCTTTACGAAAGCAGTGATTTGATACGCCATTACGCTAGGATAGATTTTTGACGCAGGAAAGAATCAGTCTACCTCTATTTTCTGTTTTATTATTGTGTTATGTTTATTACCTAGTGAACTGTACCTTGCAGTCTTTCAATACGTTGAATATGTATCCAAACTTCTTCTTGTGTAAACAGAGTACTTATTGTCACTATAAACATTCACTTTGACATATGCCTCAAGTTGCTCTTACAAGGCCTTATTATAAAACCTGTTCGAAACCTTCCTAACCATTTCAATTTTGATCACAAAATATGAAGCATTTCTTAAAGGTGTTAAATAAAATGTTTTGTATGGTATTTAAAAATGAATGTTTTTTGTAATTTACTTAAGCTTAATTTATAATTAATTAACTGCTCGAATGGTTTCGTGAAATTTGTTTGGTTTTCAACCGCGTAATATTAAATTTTAATCAAAGAACACATTTTACTTAATAAGAGTTTTAATTAAATTCACACTTATTGTACTGATGTGAAAATATTTTCACATTTTATCTTCTTGTTTTTTTTAAGTGTAATAAACATGACAGAACATCTTTCAGTTTTTGTTTTGTTTCGTCCAGCCTTTCCAGTGAGACATTGTCATGAATACCTTTATAATTTAGTGTATTTTTGAAAAAGATTTCAAACAGAATTTTTCATACATGTTGTCTGAACCATTAAAGTTGTCTGAAATAAGTTTTTTATATAACCCAAATCAAACTACTTTATTACACTGGCAAATCACAAATTTAAACTGCAGACATTTGAAAAAACAAACAAAATAATCTGTATTATCATCAAATTTTGTTAGTGGATTTTCATGTCACAACTTCTTAACCCAGTCTCTCTGACATCTTTGTCCTTTCTCTGTCCACTCTTCCTCTCTGCCAATGTTGAGTAATATGTAGATCAGCATAAGTTGCAGGGGTTAACCTGACAATATTATTGTTTTAATGAACATGACAAGTATTGTAGTTTGCAACAGCCAAATTAGTGTTAAAATCATTGGGGATCATTTCTTTTTGGTTCTGTTTTTAATTGGCCTTTTTTCCAATTAAAAATTACTGCTGAATACAAACATTAACAACATATCCATTCATGGTTAGCCTCGACAAAGAGTAAAATATTCACAAATTCTGACAAAAAAGTGTCAGAAATTTGAAAACACACAATAGACAGAGTAGTAAACAGGTATTCTTCTTGCTGGAATATGGGAAAATATTTTCATCAGATGGAGGCTAACCCTGTAAAAAATACTTCTTCACTTGCTTTTATTCAGCAGTCAGAGCAAACTTGATATTGGTGCCATATACCATTAAGTTTTTTGTAACTGTTAGAGGGCATTGTGTACTGTGGCAAGCAGACTCAGTTTTTACCCAGATACCATGGCACCCAGTCATTGTTTATGTATTTTAGTTGATTTACTTGGGATAGGATGCTGACAGGAAAACCCTTAACTACTAGTCTAAAACTAGTTCTCTCACTGAAGGGTTACCTAAAGTTCACAATAAATAAAAATTACACATCTGTTTAAATCATAAATACTTAATAAACAAGTGGAAAATATGTACAATATTTATAAACTAGAAATGTAATTAAATAAGACAAATAAATTAAGAGAATGTAGCTAATATCCTTCAGACCCCGGTTGTTCAAACGTCAGATAGTGCTGTCCACCGCCGGATAAATCACTATCCAGCGGATAGCGTAATTGATTTCCGTAATACTTATCCGCTGGATAGTGATTTATCCGGTGGATAGCGCTATCCAACGTTTAAACAACCAGGGCCAGGTGTAGGTGTTGCTAGTTACAAACATCTAAACATGGAGTTTTGTTCAAAACAGAAAATGTCTGTTCCTCCTCGTCCTGACCCTCCTGTGGTTGGCAAAGTGACGCATAGCAGCATCGAGCTGTACTGGAAAGCTCCAGAAGCCAGCCACCAAGGAAAAGGTGACAGTCGAGTGCGTTACTGTGTCCAGGAGGAAGAGCTGGGCCCAAAATCCAAAGGCTTTGGTAATGTCTACTCTGGATACAGTACAATGTGAGCGTTACTTGACATTTTGAAGATGATGATCATGCCTAATAATTTATAAAGTTGTGATTCGGTCAAATCTTAATTGAAATTCCTTGATTAAAATTATATTTGCCTTTGCTGTAGTTTATAACTGATTATTACATATCACCATAGTTAAAGCAAAGGAAAATATGATTTAAACCACAACATAATGACATTAGCAGTCAAAACTGTTTTGTGGTAGATTATCTTTTTGCAAAAATAAGCCATCTGTGATGAAAAAAATTGTGCACTTTACATGTTATGATGTAAAGCAATTTGGATTAGAGTCAAAATTTGCAGTCATTTTAGCTATTGGTAGGTCAGTTGAAGGGGTCATTGGGCAATTCCAGAAAATATCCATACTATACCACGGACGCCTTTTAGGATTTCCGAAGGGGAGGGGGGGTTCACGATTATGGAATTCTGAGGGCATGGGGGGGTATTTACGATTTGAAATCCAAAGGCATGGGGGAATTCCACAGGTGGGTTTTCTGGAGTAGAAAGTGTAGAGTGAGTCCTTTAAAATGCTATTGTTGTGGAATTTTGTAGTTCGTAAATAAACCACGAAGATATGACCGCAGAAGCAGAAGACAAGCATCGATAGATCAGACACGTGTTTACGCTCATAACTTATAGAAGTGAACAGTAAAACGTTGGTTTCACATTTACCTTGATGAATTTCTTGTCACATGAGTAAAAACTGAAAATGTATCTTTAATACCGCTTGCAAATTTCTTGTTACTCCCGTCCGATGAACAGTAAAAAACTCACACCAGTCCCTCGTTTCCAAGGAACGCCTGTCAGATTAGAACACTTTTCGTGCACACTACATGACCTATAAAAGGAGGCAACATGACTCGACGGTATATTTGACCGCCGAAAGATTTTAACAGTCTGAATTTGAGCTGTTTTGCTTTGTAAACGTCAAAACAGCACAAGAAAACAAAGAGGAGTAAAATTACCTTAAGTAGTGTTTATTTTTATAGCCAAATTCGGACTTAAAAAGGAGTTTGCACAGCCTGGCCACTAGCGGTAGTTTTTTCTTGTCACTGAGGAGTAAAGCTTGTCGCCTGGCGCCGCTAGATCACAGCCTTGAGGAGGCATAAATTCATGTTCGTTTGTTCATATAGGCGTTGCTAAGTCGAAAATGTACTTTAAAAAAAAATGGAAATTCTGGAGGGGAGGGGGGTTCACGATAATGGAATTCTGAGGGCATGGGGGGGTAACGCATTTTGGAATTTCCGAAGGCAAGGGGGGGTTAAAACATGGAAACCGTCCGTGGTTGGGTATGGATATTTTCTGGAATTGCCCATTAAGGCTGCAAGTTCAAAAAAATACAGGCCTCAGTGATTGGTAGGAATCACTTAGGGATTTTTCCTAGATTCTGGCTACTGTCAATAAATGTTTTTCACCAAAATTGAGCCCAAACATTAACAACACTGATCATTTTCGCCAGGTTGGGTTTCATGCCACACCCCTTTCAGCTGTTTTCTTTGCAAGATCTAATCTCTACTTATGTTCCAAGTCCTGTTTGCATAGGTAGAGCTCTTTTCCTGTTTAATGGTTCATCAAGGACCAAATTACTCATTGACAGATCTTCATGTCTCATCCAGTGTCCTGCCATTTCTGTAACAGCACATAAAACCAACACTAGCTTATTTCCTATACTTTTATCAAGTTTAACCCTTTCTGTTGCTTCATTAATGATATGAGGACTTGTTCTCTTTTCTTTTTTCTGTGGTATCTTTCTGTTGGCTTTTATAATTTCTCTCTTTCTCTCTCTCTCTCTGTCAGGAATGTGTTTAACGGTCTGGAGGCTCGCACACAGTACCGATATAGACTGAAATGTATGAACGACTTTGGATCAAGTGCTTGGAGTCCTGTTGTTACTGTGTCAACAACAAAGAAACCACTGACCAGTGAGGATCTTCAGCGGGCTGTAACCAAAGGAGATGTGGAAACTGTCAAAAGTATCCTACCAGGTAAGTCCGAACAGTAAGGTTAAAGCAATTAGCATGCAGCTTACGACAACATACCTCCCAACTCTGCTGCCTTAGGGCTTGAGTTTCAGGCCTTCAGACAGCGTGCAAAGAAAAATGTGTCCGAAAGCCCGGGACTAGTAGATTGCTATCAGGCTAGTGATTTTTGTTCTTAACTTGCCTGACGGGCAAGTGCTGTTTTTTGCGGAAATTTAAATTACAGAAGGATTGTAATCAATCCTGCTAATCAAAAAGGGTTTTGGGGCTAGTTGAAATGTCTTGTAGGCTAGTACATGCTAGCAGCAACTTGCCCGAATGGCAGGCTGTAAAACTGACTTTCTTTGCACCCTGTCAGATCAAAAAATATTCAATCTTTCACCAGCTCCTGCATACAGATCAAATTTCTTTACTTGAAAAAAAAAATTGAGCTATTACAACCTCAACCGGCACATATTTCAAAAAATGTACAAATTCTACAAAATTCAAAGCAGTGCACGAAAAGAAAGAATCCATGTGAATGATCCTACTTTCCCAGAAATTTCCAATTTTTGAACAGAAATCACTGGAACTCAAAACTCTTTGGAACATCTTTGAAAACCTTATGTTATCCCGTCCTGTACAAAAACTTCTGGTGCTCTAAGGAGATCGTACTAAGATTCTAATATTTAACAGACTTGAGATATTTCTTTACATTTACATGATGTTGGCTAGCTTTCCCATTTTTTGCCTCAAATAAATTGCTCAATTTTTTTTTTTAAAGGACTCAGTTGGCAGGCTGTTGATTCACCTGATAAGTTTGGTTTGTCTCCTCTCATGGTTGCAGGTACGTAAGCATTCACGATTTTTGTCTTTTTCTGTTAAGACTTGTTTGTTGATGAAACCACCTTCCATTATCTGAATTGACCTGATCAATAGGTTGCAGGATATGAGTATAAGTACATGATAATATTTTAAATAGTATTATTGTCCTAATACTTTGTTCTGATGCCTCAAGTCTGTTGTCCGTTGCTTTGGAACATGAATAGTTTAAATATGTCAGTAGAATGTTTCATCCCCACATAAGTTTGTCACATACTAACTGTATAATGAATATTTTGTATGTTTTTTTTTTCCATATTGTAGCACAAAGAGGCTATGTGGATGTAGCAAGAGTCTTGCTGGAAAGCTCAGCCGATGTGAACTTTCAGAGCAGCAGTGGAAAGACAGCATTGATGATGGCTTGCTACTCTGGTAAATGGCATCAGATGTCATTTTCCTAACATGATTTTTATTTCTCTGTTGTTGGGATTTAAGGGAGGTCTCATCTCTTTCCCTTGATTTTCACAGAGGATGAAGAGGCTGTTTTGTCATGAAAAACTCTGTTTCATCAACCTGTATAAATTTTTCAGCAACAAGCCCACAACACTACTGACTATTGAGCTTATTTTATTGCTATGTAAAACTGAAGACTATGCTGTGTGAGACATCTTGTCACCCTTTCATTCACAATAAGTACAAGGAAAAATCCACCGAAATTTTTTTTTTCAAGAATTCAAAAGAAACAAAGTTGAGAGACTCTTCATGATGTTTGAAAGCTGAAGAGCCAAAAAAGCACTTCTGTTACTTGCTTTGTCCAGATTATGCTTTAGCTGCATGAATTAGTTATTTTTTTTGCAATTCCAAATTGAGGGTGGCGCAAAATGGTGGGTGAGGGAAAGAGAAGAGTCCTGGAGAGACAGAGAGAGTCTCTCCTCGTTTTTTCCCTGTCTATTTTTCACCCTAGCTCTTCTATTTGAATGCCTGGAACAGGCTATTTCCCAAATGTAAAGAAGCTGGTACAAATTATTAAATTTTAACACACTGACTTATAAGCATCCATATGGAACATGGGCTGATTCTTGTTAATACTTGCTTGACAGGTCATATTGAAGTTGCGAAGCTGTTACGGCAGTACAATGCCAGCTGGGATTTAGTGGATAAGACAGGCTCTACAGCCCTTCATTGGGCAGTGGACGGAGCCAATTTAGACATGATCCGCTGGATGCTACAGGATGGCTGCAGAGTGGATATCAAAGATGAAACTTCAGGTGGATTGAAATAAATAATATTGTATTAATTTTCTCATCACAAAGTAGGCTTGTATTTTGGAAGGGGTACTTTCTTATGGGCAGATGCCTCTATCCTTCATGTGAGCTTTTAGGAGTGGGGTAAGGGAGGGTAAAGAGAATTTTTCCCCACCCCACCCCGGAGAACATGCTTGCAGACTACTGTAATGTCTTATATTAATTTTCATTGACATAATAGGTTGTTTATGTAATTTTCTAGACTCTATTTATATTTTTATGTCATTTATATATATATATATTTTTGTATAGTTATTTGCAGTTTTTCCTGTATGTACGTTTGAAAAGCCCAGTTATGTATGTGTATGAAGCGCACTTATTTTATTTATTTTATTTTATTTAAATAAAAACGATAATAAATAGGTTAATTAACATTAAATTTAAAATAGAGATTTAGAATAGAGATTTCCCCCCACGGGCAATTTAAATATATGTATATATTCCTGACTGAGGATAATAAGAGAACATTCGTAGTCTAGAGCTCGTGCGTGGCACATCTTTTAATCTGGGTTTTACTTTCTTTCTTTTTTTTTTTTTTCATGTTGCCCGTAGGGTGGACTCCACTCATGAGAGTGGCTGCTGTGAATGGAAATGTCAATGTAGCTAAGGTGCTTATACATCACGGAGCAAATGTACATACAATGGATAAAGAAGGAAAAACAACGCTTATGAACGCTGCACTCAACGGATTCGAGGCGCTGGTCAAGCTTTTGGTCAAAAAGGGCGTGTCAATAAAGCTGAGATCCGAGCACGGCAAAACAGCGCTTGATTTCGCGAGGTCATTTGAACACGAGAGGGTTATTCAGGTTTTACAAGAACAGTTGGATGCCATAAGGAAGGAAGAGAACGAAAGAAAACTGGCCGAGGCAAAAGAGCAGAGGCGGAGCCTCGAGAAGATCGACAGTAGTGTTGTGAAACCTGTCACAAATGGGACTCAGAGCTTAAATGGAAAAGAAAATGAAGCCATAGGCTAACAGATATCTTAATATGCATATCTAGGATGGATTTATTTGCAGCCTATTGGGATAGCCATCGTAATTACTCCCTGAAATTTTCCATTACTTTTACGCCTTCTTCCAACGGGCAAATGCGACTGAAATACGCATATGCTGCAAACGAATCCATCCCTATGAAACTTAGGGAGCTTTCCATTTGTCAGAGCTGGCCGGCCAGACCATTGCCTGACCAGTCAGTTTGATAATGAAATAGGCCTTTTCCAAGAGTTTTTGCTGAAAAACCATGTCCTTGGTACATACTATTTAGGATGTGACTGATCTGGCTGGAAAGTTTTGATTAAAAGGGAAATTATCATTGCGACGGGAAAGGTCGGGCCGGTCAGTTCTGACAAATGGAAAGCGCTCCAAGGGGTTGCGGAATTTGCCTTATTTGAAGGCTGGGATTCTCGGGTTAAAGCAAAACGTATGCTCAGGATGCAGTAGTCTCCCTCGCAGCCGTTTTTAGTATCGTCACGCAACGCGTTGCGTGACGATACTAAAAACGGCTGCGAGGGAGACTAAGGATGCAGATGCCGAAAATAACCTTCGAGATTACGGGACTGAACACAAATTTGGATCGGGATGACAGAATTGAAGGACCCATTGGAGACCCTTCTATAAATGATACCCTTTCTTCCTAAGCAGGCGTTTGAAGGGGAACCTAAAACTGAGTATGACTACTGCCCAAATATAGATGCCTATAATGCTGGGAGGGGGATATTTAATGTAGGGTTCCTAGAATACTGAGAGTGAGGGGGGATAAAAGCGCGAGATGATGCCCTCCTTCCTCGCGCGGCCTTTATGTACTCGCGCGCCTTAATAGGCCATCTCCGAGCTCCAAAGACTCTTCATTTTCAAAACAAGGCTAAGTGCAAAACCATTGTTGTGAAGGTGAGTTTTATTTGCATGGGAATAAATTAAAAAATCATTTCCATATCAGTGGCTTAGCAAAAGCGTTGCTTTGAAACAGAGGCCTAAGCAACTCAGAAATGCCCTTTAACCTTCTTTTCTTTTCCCTTCAAGTTTTGGAACCAAGAAGAATGAACTTTTTTACAACGACAAGTAACTTCACCACTTGTCGGTACTATTTATGGACTATTTAATATCCTCTGAACCGGTTTATTATCTTTGCTATCCGTGTATGGGTTTTTTCCTCAAACTCGGACGCACAAGCCCTTCAAAGTCGTCCTTTTTGTTACATACTCCTTGCAATCTCCAAAGAGAGACCAGAGTTCTTTGGGGGGTTTACGACTCGAGGAAACGGCAGAATTTAAAGTGAAATAGGTCTTGATCGAGAGATTTCGCTAAAAAACCAATCCTTGCTCATTATACTATTATGGAAAGAAGTGATGTGGCTGCAAAATTCTGAGTAACAGTGGAATGTTAGCTGATTCTCTTTACGAACGGACTGGTCTTACCAACTAGTTCTTAGTGAATGTAAGCGCCCTAAGCTAGCGCGCACTTACATGGCTGAATTTCATCCGATTGCTTCGAGTCCTTTTCTCCTCTCAGCAACGACGTTACTGACGGAGAAATAACGACTCGAAGTATTCGGATGAAATTCAGGCCAATTCAGGCGTTACTGAGGGAGTAATAAGGAGTCGAAGTAATCGGATAAAATTCAGTGAGGCTAGCGTAGCTGTTTTTTTTTTTTTTTTTTTTTTTTACTTTTTTTTTTCTTGTTGGTTTGTTCGAGAGATATCTGCGTGCGATGTCAAACGAGAAAACGCACGAGGTCAATCGAGAAAAGAGATAGAAAATCACAAACGAAAACACCACCCTGCACACACAAAAAACCACCATCTACACAGGATAGTTTTCATTTGAATGGAGAGATATTTGCGTCATTAACAGCAAAGCTGTCAAACACTCAACGACTTTTGATTATTCAGTGGTGGTCTTTTTACACCCAAAGATATTGACTGCAATTCCATGATTCGACGATTTTGGATTGTAATGTTCGTAAAGCTTTTCGGTTGAATACATTACTAAAAATCAACCAAGAAACCAAGCTTTTCGTTTTCAAGAATACTCTTTAAGCGACCATTAATGAATTTGTTGCTTGCTTTAGTTTAATTCTATACAATTCGTAATCGGTCATTTTCAAGGTGACTGAGTTAATATATTTTATGTCAAAAATTTGGAGATAATAAAATTTATACTCAAGTGGAAGTGAATCTATTAAAATTTTGAAGTATTCTCTTTTAGTCCTGGTTTTTCTTGTTTCTTTATTTTTGTTGGTTTGTTTGTTTACTTTGACTGAATAACATTGACATCCCTTTTACGAAACAAAAATTTCCACCCGAAAAAAAATATCTCTTTTCCTTTTGAAAAAAATAACCTCAATAACGAAAAGTAAGAATAGACCATAAAAAAGCGATTGCCAAGGTTTCTTCTGGAAGGCCGATCATAGAGTAGACACAAAATAGATACATAGTACCACGTGAAAGTATTGGTGAAGAGGGTAATTTGATTGGTCACATCAAATGATTTAATCCAAACACTCAAAAGGTAATGGTAAAGGCGCACACAAGCCAAAGGCCCAAACGGACGGAGCTTATCCCGAAATACTCCTGTAGCAATGCATGAAGCATGCCTAGGAGTATTGCCTTTCCTTCCTGGTCCACCGCAGAAGTACCCCCAGCAGTTTGGCGCCGGTACCCGTGAAGAGAGACTAAGTGGAGTAAAGTTCCTTGTCTAAAAGTACAACGCGACGGGCGAGGCTTGAACCCCGGACCTCCAGATTCGGAGTTCGAGGTGTTAACCACTCGGCCACGCACGCCTCCTCAAAAGCTCATGTGCAGGGGGAAGTAGTGATAAATTTAAGAGGTTTCGTTTGAATAGTAACACAAAAGGTTTTGACCACAATCTCGAAAGTAAGAGTTACAAACAAGTAAATGGTACCATGGAAAAGTACTTTTGAGGAGGTTTCACCTGTGACTTTTGCATACAGACTCTCAATCATGATTTGATTGAGGCATCACTTGGAGATGACTCATGACCATCGACTTAAAAATTAACGCAATGAGGGTAAAAGGACCGGGATGTGTAGTCAATTTTATGGCCTGTACGGGGATACGCTGCTCTACAGTTTTTGTCCTCGCTGTACCGAAACAGGTTATATTTTTTCGCGTGTCTGTCCTGAAGATGGTATATAATTTCGTGTTAGTTTGTCCTAATTATAAACAGGGTATTGCTTGCACGGTTGATATGATTTGCTCAATGAATTCTGGGCATACTCCAAGTATAAAAAGCAGTTGCTGTATACTATTACGATTGCCAATGAATGGCTTTGAAACAAGAAAGAGTGCATTTTGTCCCTTGTCTTAAATAGGGTAACAAAATTGAGGGCGTTGGCCCAAACAGGTTATGTATTTTAGGGTCTTTTGTCCTACACAGGGTAAGGGTTTCAAACCCTCAGCGGCTCTCCTCTACCCAAATATCGGCCGAGTAACATTTTGTTACATATTTACATATAAATGAAAAACAACAAAACAAAAAAAGGTACAACAATTACAAAAGGTCAAATGAGAATTTTGTACCTTTTGTACCTTTAAAAAATTTCCTGAAAGTTAATCCCTCTTCCGTTCTCTCAACAGTGAAATTAATGTTGATAGTAAGATGAAATTGGTAAACCCTAGAACTGGACTTCGGTATCAGATTTTCAGCTTAAAGCAATGAATCAAATGTTCTTTTTTAAAGGTTATTTTGACATGACAACGTTGTCGCAGTAACGCATGTGAATACAAAAAAACGGTTAAATTATTTCAGCGCAAGATTTCTATTGAAACAAAAATCTAAATGGCTATCTTCTAGCCCGACATTTTTCAGAAAATCTGTCGTTTAATTACTTCACAGTCACTTTTGACAAATTTAAGGCTTTGAACCAAGCGAAAATTGAATGATATTATTATTTTCTTTCTTTCTTTGTGCTTCCATGTATTGCATTATGCCCGGTTCAGAGGCCGCTCCACTCATGTGCCGAACGTAACTGATAAATTTGTCGAAATTAACACACGCTGCTCCGTCCGGCTGAATCAAATGTCGCGCCAGTGTCGATCCAAAGTCGAACTTATTTAATTAGGTTCGGCACATGGAAAGTATAGCGTCTGAACCAGGCCTTACTTCAGAAAAAAAAATGCAATTTGCAAACTTTGAGTTTGGCTCCCTCAGGCTTGGGCCGGTGCTCTTTCGACTGGTGAATAATGGTAAGTAACTTATGGCTCACAAATGCGCAGTCATAAGTTGTGTAATTAAGGTATCAGCATTGACGGGTACAATAAAATACAACAGCTGTTCACCCTACCTTGAAAGCTGTAAATCATACTATATTTCCATTTAATATCATAGTTTTCGTCCCAGCGTCCGGCACTGGTTTTCTGATTTTCCTGGAATAATGGTTGATTACACTTTTTTCAGAGCTTTTTAGATGCTTTTCTATGATCTCTCAGTTACTATTCGCTTTCATGGCTTTGGTCCGAGAAAACCACTATAATAGGACGAAGTATCCGTGGGGAAGGACTGCCCGGCTCCATCTTCTTGAGAGCGTTCCTTTGAAAAAAAGAGCAGTTTGCCATCGCGTTGAAATTGTCGAAAGTAAAAACTGTGCCAGGTGGTGAAAGTTCAACCCTGGTATAATTCTTTGTCTCTGAAGCTGGGCTCATTGGCTCTCTCACTTCGAGGGATAAGGTGTGGTTATCTTGCTTGTTTTTCTGTTTACATCTTCTCTTTCTTCTGCTGAACAGTGAAAGACAGCTTGTAGCCATTTTTCAACTGGTTCACGTTGTGTTGCGAGATCAGAGTAGACTCAGAAATCGAGAGTTTATGACCCTGATGGCACAGAATGTCGTGTTTGTGTGGCAAGAAGGAGCTTCAAAAGATTTATCAGGTGTCTGACAACAGTAGTCATAGAAATTAATGAAAAAGGATTATCCGTGAGAAGTCATATATGTAGCCATGACAACTAAACCTGAGGGGATATTAAACTTGAACTTGAACTTGAAAGATCTAACAACAACATAAGCTTTATTTGCATGACTATAATTATGTAGTTACAGTATTGCAAAAGCTTTAACATAAAAAAACAAACAAACAAATCATAACAATGATAATGCAATGCAATGATTACTATAGTCAATCAAGTGTCATCAGCATGATTTGATAACAAATTATTACGTAAATCATTACATAATGAGACAAATTTCAACAAATGTGAATTTACGGAAAAATTCTGTGAATTCATCAATTTAATTATTAATTCTGTGTAAGATAACTGATTAAAGTCGACAAAATTTTTGTTGGATTAGATTATAGAATTTCTCCCTTGGATTGAGTATTTTGGACAATGGAAGAGAAAATGAAATTCGTCTTCAATTATACCAGAGTTACAAATAGAACAGAGTCTATCGTTGCGGTAAGTTTGATTGTATCTTCCAGTTTCAATCATGAGTTTGTGGTTACTTATACGAAATTTTCACTAAATCTTTCCTATTAGCAGAATTTCTAATTAAGTCTAGATAACTTGAAATTTTATAATCATGTTTAAATAAGCTGTAAAATTGTAGTTTCTTAGAATTTTTACCTACCCCCCCCCCTTTGCTAGCCTCAATCATTTCAGACATTCCAACTTCGATTCGCATACGCTTGAGAGGAGTATGCGACTAGAATTCAGGCTACCTACCCCTCCCTCTCCTCTTCGTGCTCCGTTACCCAACCATATAATTACGTTAACCCTGTTTCAGTCATATAGTTTTCGATTGACGTCAGTCGCGATTTATTTTGCATTGAAAAAAAATAACAACTTCCAAATGAGGTCAATGCCACCTGGTCAGAATGATAAATAAGCCGGAAAGGGTAGTAACTTTAAAAAAACACCACTCAGAAGTATTGTAAAACTTAAGAGTAAGCGAGCATAGAAATTCCCGTTTACCTTTCATTGCAGTCTAAAACGAAACTTTTTATTAAAATATGGTAGAAACGATGCAAAGGAGGAGCAGCTGGTTGCTGGAATTTTAAAGTCCTTCGTTCGTCAAGACTGCGTTGCTAACATGGAGAAAGAAGGATCATTGAGGAATGTCTCTGATCTGGAATTTGTATTCGCAACTTGCACATC